CCCCTCCCCCATGGGTTCCTGTTAAGTTTCTCAGGATCCACATAAGAGTGTAAACATATGGTATCTGTCTTTCTCTGTATGGCTTATTTCACTTATAACCTAAGTATTTTATTGCTCTATACCAGTATTTCTCATGTTGTCTCCCTCAGTTATCAATATGGAATTGTCTCTAACTGATAGCCTGCTAAGGAGTTTCAGTATAATACCTACCTCTATAGTTCCTAGAACAGTTCTAAAGAAAAATAAAATGAGTAAAAGATCTAAAGTACAAGTCAGTTTTTTGTTATTGTTGGCAGCATTCTGAGTAATATTTTACAAATTATAAAAGTTTAAATTAAATGAACTTGGATTTTTGTAACCTAATTTGTAGTGTATTCTGAAAAACTTCATGAAAATAGTATTATACAATACTAACCACTTCTAGAATTTGTTATTGGCATTCAAAAAAATCCATTCTGTTTATATGGATTTGCCATTGTAAGATCTAAGCATTTCTTTTTTTTTAATATTTATTTATTTTTGAGAGACAGAGTGAGACAAAGTGAGCGTAGGGGAGGGGCAGAGAGAGAGAGAGGGAGACACAGGATTGGAAGCAGGCTCCAGGCTTTGAGCTGTCAGCACAGAGTCTGACGCGGGGCTTGAACCCACTGACTGTGAGATCATGACCTGAGCTGAAGTCGGATGCTCAACCAACTGAACCACCCAGGTGCCCCAAGATCTAAGCATTTCTTGCATGTAGTACTGAAGCAGATTATGAGGCATCAGGTTTGTGGTTTATGTTTTAGTGGTTAGTGCCTTTCATACCTGTAACCTCCATTGTAGAACAGAAAAAATATTAGGGCATAGCTTTGAGTCCCTAACACCCTACTATAGTTAGTTATACAATAACCATATTAATATAATATTAATATTCGAGACTGCTAAGAGTCTACAGGCTTTATAGTACTTCAAATAATCATCAAAAGGGTTTTTCTGTATGTTCCGGAAATACAAAACACTTTCATTGTATAATCTGATAAAGCAGCACACATCAAGTACATGATTTTGAAGCCTGGTTTAATGCTGGTCTTTCAGCATGGAGGCCTGGTTAGGATGGAGTAAAAAAAAAAAAAAAAAAAAAAAAAAAAAAAAAAAAAAAATCCTGATGTACTAGAAATGATAGACTCAGTAAGATGAGGATTTCTGAGGAGCTCAAGGAGACAGGATTTAAATGGTTTTGTGTTTTCTACAGAAGAGTTGCTGGAGCTTCCAGTAAGTCCTAGACTGAAGATGAAAGTTATTTGAAATTTTTATCTTCCTGGGCAAGAGTCTCCTCTAATAGTAGAGTTATGTTATGAGGCGAGTGGAATTGAAAGTCATTTAATATAGACAATGAGCTATGTAGGTGCGTTCAATTTTCCTGGGCTAATATCTGTCACTTATTAGCTTTCTTTAAGATCTTGGGTAGGTTCGTCATCCTCCTGGTGAATCAATTTCCTCATCTGTAAAATGGGCATCTGAAAAGTACCTTCTCCTAGGGTTCTTGTGAGAAATGAGTACATACGGTAGGCTCAGATCAGTGCCTGACACATTTCCCCACAGACCCTACCCACTACCACTTCAACTTCCCAGAATTTATGTTATGAGAAATAAAGGCTTTAGATAGCCGTATTTTACTTTACGTATGGGCATATATCTAGCTGATGTTTTCAATTTGTACTGCTTAAATGTATACACTAAAATCTGGCTACGTAATTAGCTCATCAACATTTGCACGTCTTTTAGATACTCCCAGCCCCTACATGAAGAAATAGCATTGCATAAGCATCTGAAGCATAAAAATATTGTCCAGTATCTGGGCTCTTTCAGTGAGAACGGTTTCATCAAAATCTTCATGGAGCAGGTCCCAGGAGGTAAGAGATGTTTTTCTTTTTTAAGAAATTATAAATTTGTAGGGGCTTGAAGAGGAGAACAAGTGAATGGGATTTATGAGTTTACACGTCTTATTTCGTCTAAGTTAAAAGAAAAATGAGATTATGTTCATTGCAGCATTGTTCACAGTAGCCAAGATATGGAAAGAACCTAAGTGTCCCATCACTGGATGAATGGATAAAGAAAATGTGTTTTGTATACATAATAGAATATTATTCAGTCATAAAAAAGAGTGAAATCTTGCCATTTGCAACAACACAGATGGACTGTGAGGGCATTATGCTAAGTGAAATAAGTTATGCAGAAAAAGACAAAAACTATATGAGCTCTCTTACATGTGGAACTAAAAAAAAAAAAAACCCAGAGGCATCTGGGTGGCTCAGTCGGTTAAGTGTCTGACTCTTGATTTCTGCTCAGGTCATGACCTCATGGTTCATGAGTTCAAGCCCTGAGTAGGCAGAAAGTGCAGAGCCTGCTTGGGACTCTCTATCTCCTTCTCTCTGCCCCTCCCAAACTCCCAGGCCTTCTCTCTCTCTCTCCCCCTCTCTCTGCCCCTCCCCAACTCCCACGCCTGCTCGCTCTCTCTCTCAAAATAAATAAACAAATACATAAAATCCCTGGGGCGCCTGGGTGGCTCAGTCGGTTAAGCGTCCGACTTCAGCTCAGGTCATGATCTCACGTCTGTGAGTTCGAGCCCCGTGTCGGGCTCTGTGCTGACCGCTCAGAGCCTGGAGCCTGTTTCAGATTCTGTGTCTCCCTCTCTCTCGGAACCCTCCCCCATTCATGCTCTGTCTCTCTGTCTCAAAAATAAATAAACGTTAAAAAAAAATTTTTTTTAAAATACATAAAATCCCAAACAAACAAAGGAAACAAGTTCAAAAATAACAAAGAACAGACGCAGGGGATGGGGTGGGCAAAATGGGTGAAGAAGGTCAAAAGGACCAAACTTCCAGTTATAAAATAAATTAGTCCTGGGGATGTAATGTACAGCCTGATGACTATAGTTAATAACACTATATTGTGTATTTGAAAGTTGCTGAGATGTATATAAATATCGCAATGTATATAAATATCAAGTCATTATGTTTTACACCTGAAACTAATATAATGTTATATGTCGAATATACCTCAAAATTTTTTACAAATTTAGACATGTGACATCAGCTTGAAGTTTATTAGGAGGCAATACAAATATCCTGAACGATTTTAGTATCAATCATTGTGACCTAGATTAAAGTTAGGGACTGAGGAGCCTTTTATTTTGACCGTATTTGATAATGAGCATCTTCAGAGCAGGGACACTTTCTATTCATACGTGAGCCCAGGTGTCTAATACTCCAGTTCCTGGGCCACCATGAATAACCAGGAAGTGTTAGCTTAAATTAATGTTACATTATTAACATGCTTTAAAGAACTCATTTGAATAAGAATTTATCCACTGTTTCTCCCTGCTTTACAGGAAGTCTTTCAGCTCTCCTTCGTTCCAAATGGGGCCCATTGAAGGACAATGAGCAAACAATTGGCTTCTATACAAAGCAAATACTTGAAGGATTAAAATACCTCCATGACAATCAGATAGTCCATCGGGATATAAAGGTAGGATGCACGAGGATTCACGTTTGAAAGTTCCTTGGTGGGCAACTGGTTTTGTTTTGTTTTCTTTTCTTTTTGCAAAAGTCATACTGTGTTATGAGTATTAATTTAGAATTGTGAATAAATAAATCGTAGAAATAGCAGAAATGCAAGATACTAACTCCTCTGCTCTGAGTCAGGTATTGGTACTCATGCCTTATCTCTTCTCCTCAAGGAATAAGCCTCTTAACTGTGTTCACCCAACAAAGATTGAGCTTCCACTGCACCCCTGGCACTCTTTGAGGTGCTCTGGGGAGGGGGTAGCACAGCAGAACAAAACTGGACAGGATAAGGTCTCCGCCCCTGACGAGATCACAGGCTGGTTCATCTTGGTATCCTTGCCCTGAGTAGCTACTCAGTAAATATTTACTGCATCAATGGATGAATGATTGGGAGGGAAAATAAATAAGATCTTCTCTTCTCACAAGTATCATATACTGATTGTTTGAACTAAAATTAAGTAACTTACTTGATTCTTCTTAAAAAGAGGAAATTCAGAACTAATACATTTCTGACAAAGGTGGCACCATGGAAAGGAAGTCAATATTACTATCCGCAGATCATCCCAGATCTCGTGATTTGCCATATCCCCAAATATTCCGGGAAAAGAAGTAAAATAACAGAAAATACAATGGGAAATCATGAATGTCATGTTTGAACTTAATCACACACAGGTGACCCCTTCTGTTCACAAACCACAGCAAACTCTGACCAGGCAGGCGCCTTTTGACCTTGTGGCCTGAGTAGCACGTTGTGAAATGATAATATAGGCACAAAAATGGTGTCAAGAATTCACTCTTGAGGTTAACTGTAATGAAGGCTACAGACTTAGTGGCCTCGTTTACTCTGGGGACACCGTTTCTTATTGGACTTACGAGCCAACAACAAACAGTACTGGAGGAAAGACTAGTTTTGATTCAAGTCTTTTGTTCTCTAGGGTGACAATGTGTTGATTAATACCTACAGTGGCGTTCTCAAGATCTCAGACTTCGGGACATCAAAGAGGCTTGCTGGCATTAACCCATGTACTGAAACTTTTACTGGTATGTTTTTGCAATGATGATACGGATCTTAATGTAATTAAAGAAATAATTGCTGCGTTAGAGCATAATGTGAGAGATAAAGTCCGTCTGGGTTCTCACAGACATTAATGCCAGTGTCTTTTGATGCTCACTGAAAAATGTTACACAGAATTTGACCTGGCTCTTTTCTCATCATGTATTTCTATGACTTGCTCTGTCTCCTGGTTAATGCCACTGAAATGTTTTTTTAAACTCTCAATTTGTTTTTGTTTTCCCTTTCGTGTCATTACTTCTCTCCGGGTTGGCCTACAACCACTATAAGTCTTTATAAGATTTTTTTTTTTTTTTTTTTTTTTTTTTTTTTTTTTTTTTTTTTTTTTACCCCAGCCTCTCTGTGACTCTTACTCATACCTTAATCTCTTCCCATTTGAACTATGAATTCCTAATCTGTTTACTCCCTGTGGCCTATTTCCTACTCACAACATAAATAACCGGTAGAATTTTCAATTCAGAAAGAGGAAGTGACTCATCAACTCAGCACTGGGGTGGGGAAGAGAGCTTGCCTGAGAAATTAGGCAATCCAGCCACCAAGCTACCTCTAGAACAAAGTCCTGAGGTAGTGGAGACAAAGCTATTGCCAAAAAGCTAACAGTAGCCAAGAGGAAACCAAGGCTCAGAGAGATTAATGATTGTACCACAATTACAAGAGGAATTTCAACTCTGGTTCTTACCGCTCCATTCTGCTGATTCTCTTGAAGTGCTAAGTCCTTGTCATTATCATCAGAGAAAGAATAATTCAGCAAAAAAAAAAAAAAAAAGTAATGAATAATCTGTGGTCTAATAGAAAGCAAAATGGCCAGGTATCCTCATTTTTGAATCCCATGAGGTAGGTGAGGAAATGGAGAGAGAGAAGAGAGATCACAGCCAGAAGTCACAACTGTTTGTAAGTGATAGAACTCAGATTTTTAATCTACCCTTTTCTCTTTGCTTTGATCTTGCTCTGGTCCATCTTTCTCCCCATGTTGCTCACGTATCTGTTCCAGTAGCCTGGAAGAAGAAAAGGAGAGAGAGAGATTCTGTAAATTTTCTCAGAACATTCAGCCAACAACAGCTCTGACCCAGTTCCCACCCTCACAGCAATGGGTATTTCAGGGCACAGCATTAAACACAGTTAAAATGTATTTTTCTGAACAAAATTAATTCCATCTTGCTAGTAACTTTAAATGTGTTTCCATTTCTTTCCTCATACTCTCTCAATTTGGCAAGAGACATTTTAGATGTTGCCAAGACTCAGTAACTTCTGACAGGAAATCCCTACTTTCAGAGGTTTTATTTGGGCAGGATGTTAATTTAATTATATCTTCTTGCTAATCTTAAAGACGTGTTTTTTGGTTTTTTGTTTTTTGTTTTTTGTTTTTTTTAGTCCCCAAAAGAGTTTTAGTAAAGCAATCCTCCCAGAGCCCTTTGCTCTTCTCATGCTGGTTTCACATGAGTGACATGCATAACTAATGTGCCTGGTCTGTCTCCAGGGCTGGTCAAGAGGGCTTGGAGTGGGCACACCTTGATCTGCTCACCAGATAGGCCTCACCGCTGCTTGGTCAACCTCTGATGACCTGACTTGAAAGATATTGACCTGTTTCCACTTCTTGGTGATTTGGCGAGAGGGAAGGCAGCATCAACCAGGATTTATAGAGTGCTGGCAGTATACCTGCCTGCGTTAAGCGGTTTACATACATATTTCACTGAAATTCGTACATGAACCCTAATCCTTAAGTTATCAGTATCCCAGTTTATGCTGAGAAATTAATGTTAAAAGAGGTCGAATAACTTGCCTGAGGTCACAGAGCTAGTAAGTAATAGAGCTAGGATTCAAACTAGACTTAACATGCCACATGGAATTCATTATCTTCTCCCCAAACCCGTTCTGCCCACACTGTTCCCCATCTCAGTTGATGGCCACCCAAGACCTAGAGTTGTCCGTGGTGCCTCTTTTCTCACACCCCAACCCAATCCGCAAAGAGACCTACTGGCTCTACCTTCAGGAGATGTCGAAAACTGGAACACTTCTCACTGCCTCCGCTGCTGCCTCCCTCATCTCCCACCTCTGTTACCTCCATAGCCTGTTCTCCCTGCTCCCACTCTTGCCTCCTACTTTCTATTCTTAACACTGCAGCCAGAGTGATCCCTTTAAATCAAATCAAGCCCTGTTACTCGGAGACTTCGGTGGCTTTCTGTTTCATTCAGACAAATGCCAAAGTCCTAATATTGTGGACAAGAATCTGACCTGATTCGGAGTCTACTACCTTTTCGACCTCATTTCCTACTCTTCCCCCACTTGCTTAATCACTCACTCTGTACCAGAAAACTGGTCTTCCTGCATTTCCTTCATTTTACCAGGCACAGCCCTGCTGCAAGACCTTTGCACATGCTCTGTCTTCTGCTAGTAACACTCTTCTCCCAGCGATCTGCATGGCTAACTAAGTCCCTCTTCTTCAAGTTTTAACTCAGATGTCATCTCAGTGAGCCTAACATGACCACCCTATTTACGTGGCAGCCCTCCCTGGGCATTCCTGATCCCCTTTACTACCTTTTTTTTTTTTTTTTTTTTTTTTTTTTTTTTGTCATTAACACTTCACTTTCTAGCGTGCTATATAATTTACTTATTTACTATGCTGGAGTTTACTGTGTGTCTCCTGCTGCAAAGAATGTAAGCTCCATGAGCCCAGGGATTTCTGTCTGTTTACTCCACTGCTGTATTCTAAGTGCCTGGCCCATAACAGGCCCTCAATATAAATCTGCTGAATGAATGAGTGGATTAAGTAGAATGTCAAAGAAATTCTAAAAGAGATGATTTTAAAGTGATTTTTTAAAACCTTGGAATGCAGATGTATAAGATCTGCGCTTTAGAGCTAATGCTCTCACTTTTTTCCGTAGGCTACTGTACAGATTGGCTTACATCTTCATTATCTGGCTCTGTAAATCTTTTTATATAAAATATTATGTGTCATGTGATTATGGAATAAAGAGAGCATATATGAATACATAACTAAGCCTGAGGGTTTTTTTTTTTTTTGGCGCTTACTCTGTGGGGGATAATTAAGCACAATTGGCAGATAGAGCTCTTTGAAATATTATCTGATGAATAGAAACATTGCATAATGTATTGATATTACCTGAGTTGTCCAATTTTTAAAGTTCACTTTGTTGTTAACCAGTTGCAATTTCTACTCAGATATTAGTATAACTTAAATCCTCACATCCATTCTTTTTTAGATCCAGGTACAAAAAAAACAAAACAAAACAAAAAACCAATCACTATAGCTCATCAGCTATAGATGAAGAGAAATCATAGCGGTTTTCTACTAAGGGTAGGGGATTTGAAGAGTGAAGAGTGGTATTACCTTATTCTTGGCTAGGTGAAATGCTTCCTGCCAATAATGTTGCCGATTTAAGCTCACAGTACGCATGTACAATTGTATGTGAACTTGAACGTGAGCTACTGCCACATAATGAGGAGAGCTGGTGGGTAACCTGGCCAGATGACAATACTAGACAAAGATAATATACTTTCATTTGGTTTTATGAACAGCAGCCAGTTTCTAGCCTGTGTTGGTGGGTTTCATGGGAACAACTTAGAGGAGTTGTGCCTAGCAGTTTCATCTGTAAATCATGCATGAGGCATTCATAAAGGGTGCCTGTATTTATCAGGTTGTCTGTCAGTTTGGTTATGAATCAGAAAATACTGAAGTAGCTCTTTTAGCAACTGCCTCAGGATTGGAGATAATTGAATGTGGCATCTTGGATGAGTTCCTGTTTGCTGATTATATCATTTGTAGGAGTATATCAGTAGCAGGGGATGTGGCAATAATCTGTTCCTGTTCACACTCCTGATTCATTGTTGGATTTGGGGGAATCAATCTAGGGTCTCTGAGAAGCCAAGCCAGCCTCTTGTTTGAGCCACTTGAGATAACCACAGTTGAGTGTTTATCTGGGATAGACCAGACTAAACCTAGAACCAAGTGTTCTTGACTCCCCATTCAATGCTCTTGCCATCCTACCACACTCTTCAACTCTCTGATTCCACATAGCCTTTTAAATCTCCTATGTTTCGTTGTATTCTTCTTCACATTGTGTCTGGTGATTTGTCTGTACTCATGGCTCAAGACCTGTCTTTGATCTGTTAAACCTGTTATTCCATGGACCACAGGCATGCAGCAGAAGCCATATATATTTGATTTACAGAATAGAGTACACGAAAAATGGTTTACATTACTTTTAACAATGGCTTTCAGAATCTTTCATGCTTTCGTGATTTAGAGATAAGAATCAAGACAGAAGAATTAATCATTCAGTTTAGATACTGAGAAATATATTGGGGCACCTGGGTGGCTCAGTCTGTTGGGCATCCGACTTCAGCTCAGGTCATCTTACGGTTCGTGGGTTTGAGCCCCCATCGGGGGCTGGGGCCTGGAGCCTGCTTCAGATTTTGTGTCTCTTCTCTCTCCGCCCCACCCCTGCTTGCACTCTCTCTTTTTCTGTCTCTCAAAAATAAATGAATGTTAAAAAAACTTTATAAAAAAAAGAAATTGAGAAATATAGATCTAGAAAAAATGGATGAATGGCCTAGAATTTTTCTGGAAAGATTAGAAGTATACCTAATAGGAATCTTTGTGTATTTGAAAAACTAATTGCAAAAAATGTGTGTTGATATATTCTCTGTTGTTCTCAAATGACTAATTGTAGAAGTTTCTAAGAGGCCCCAATAAAGTGATACCTCATTTATACTCTAGTATCTAGATGAGAAAGCATCTATTCATGACCAGATCACATTGGCAAACTATTCTTATATCCCTGATAAAATCCATTATGACAACTGTTATTTCCATTTTTATTAATGACCAAGAAAAATGGAACACAAAAAAATGAGATATTGGGGCACCTGGGTGGTTCAGTTGGTTAAGCATCCAACTCTTGATTTCATTTCAGGTTATGATTTCACAGTTCATGAGTTCAAGCCCCATGTCAGGCTTCCTGCTCTCTCTCTCTCTTTCTCTCTCTCTCTCTCTGCCCCTCCTCCTCTTGCACTCTCTCTTTCTCTCTCAAAATAAAATAGGCATAAAAAAAAGATGAGGGGCATCTGAGTGGCTCAGTGGGTTAAGCATCTGACTCTGGTTCAGGTCATGATCTCATGGTCATGGGATCAAGCTCTGCATCAGGCTCTGTGCTGAGAGTGCAGAACCTGATTGGGTCTCTCTCTCTCTGCCTCTTTCTCTGCCACCTCCCCTGCTCCTGCTTTCTCTCTCTCTCTCTCTCAAAATAAATAAACTTAAAACAAGAAAAGATGAGATACTAAGACCTGAATCATGCTTTTAAAGTTGTCTTATTTATGTAGACAGTTAAAGCTGTCATTAGATATTCATGTGTTTTCTAAAGTAGAAGTGTGTTTGAATTACCCCCAGGTACCCTTCAGTATATGGCACCAGAAATCATAGACAAAGGACCAAGAGGCTACGGGAAAGCAGCAGACATTTGGTCTTTGGGCTGCACGATCATCGAAATGGCCACAGGGAAACCACCTTTTTATGAACTGGGAGAACCACAAGCAGCTATGTTCAAGGTCACATTTCAAATGTCTTAAATGCCTTAAAAACCACTGGATAAAGCTATTAGATTAGATGTTCCATGTGTCTATATGATAATTTTTTTAGGCCAAAGGAGAGGAGCGTAGGTGAGCACATTAAATGTGCTCACAAAGTTCATTAAAGTTCATGAAGATTCACATCCCTCAGAGTCAATGTGTATGCCTCACACTGAGGATCTGTCTGTCTCTCCCTGCCTTAGTTTTCTCAGCTATAAAGTGAGATTCCATGTAAGTTCCTCTGATGCCTTTTCACAATGCAACATAAATAACATACTTCTTTATGGAAGATGTTTTAAGCTCTTTGGGAAATAGTCTGAAAATCTTCCATGGAAGGAGATGTTAAAGACGTTTTTTTATTCATTTAAATATTAAATCAAAGCAATATTTCCCTTCTCTATCAGAAGAGTTTAGAGGCTCCATTAAGAAAGGGGTGGACAATAATTGCTACTTTGAGGACGTCAATCATATTCTTACATAGTGACTCTTCTAGTCTGTTTATTTGCCCTCTCCTGGAAGTGGGAAGCAGCCCACCTCCCAAAATAGGAAGCACCAAATATGGAAATAGGGCTGAGAAAGCCCAGGGGCCACTGCTTCAGAATTCAGGGACTGAGCAAAGCAGTGACCAGATCTGAGTCCCTTCAGTCCCCACCTGCCCTTACCTGCCACGCTGCCAAGCCCAAGATTTAAACTGAGAACTTGTTTCCCAAGGAGTAGAGCTCAAGTCTGTCGTTCTGTAAGGCAGAGAACTTCTGATAAGTTGTTATCTCTTTCCCTGCCGCTGACTGTTTCTAGCGGCTTGCCTCCTGTGATGAGCCCTGTGTGACCTACCTTCCGCTTCTGTGTAAAGGTTGCCTTACTTGAAGCTTGAAGGTGATCTGATGGGTTACTGCTGATACAGAAATGAGTAGTGCAACCAAACGAGAAGGGCAGTGAGCGCTGCTAAGAGAGCTGCCCTTCTTGACATAAATGAATGTCTTTCTCTTCTTGGTCAGTCTTTCAACTTTTCACCCATCTCTAGCAGTTCCCTCTGAAATGCTGCTCTCTTCCCCATCGGTGCAGGGATTATTATTCAATATGCATTAAATGAGATAATATAGACTCGAGCACTGATTTAAGTGTTTGAACGTAGGCTTCAACACTGTCAAACTCTTTGGGGACATTGGGCAAATGACTTAAACTTCTTGTACCTCATTTTCCTCATCTATAAAATGGGTATAAAAATAGTACCTATCTAGTAAAGGTTTTTTGAGACATATATGAGATAATACATGCAAAGCACTTAGAATAGTGTCTGACATATAGTAAAGGCTATATAATTAACCATAAATAACTGTATATTATTATCTATATAATAATTCACTTCTATAAGCTATATAGTAACAAAAAATATTTCCTTAGAACATTTTCTTTACTAATACATGAAAACATTACTGAAAAAATTTAGAATGACAGCGATGAGAAGAAAATTCTAATTGTTATAAAAATTCTGTGTGTTTAATTTTAAAATATTTAAAAATATCTCTATATATGAGCAATTTGGGGCAGGAAAAATATTCACAAATCATGGCATAGGGGAAAGAACACAGGCTTTAAGCCAAAAAAATTAAGGTTTCGATCCCAGATCTCTGTTTCTGTAACATGTAACCTCACCCCTCTGAGCCTCATTTTCCTCTTTGATGTAACAGGGATAATATTTAATCCATTGGGTTGTTGGGAGTATTCAGTGGAACTTATAAATCAAAAAACCAAACACGATTCCTGGCCTATAGCTATTAGGACCAACACAATGGTCTCAATTACAGGTATCTTTCTTGCATGCCAGTGTGCTACTGTGTGCTAAAACTTTGAGGACTGAATTATTACTTCATTATGCTGTCTACTGTCTTAACATGATTGCTCTGTGTATGTCATTGATGAGGTTACAAAAGCACTCTGGAAACTTCCCATAACCTAGAGAAAAAAACATCCTATCTCGCTTTGAGAAAAGGCATGAGTTTGTAGGAAGTATATGGTAAAGGACTTTGTTGTGCTAGGGGACCAAGTTTTGGATCCTGGAGCTCATGTGATGAGAGGGTCACTCAGAAGTTACCTTGTGCTGTGTCTTAGGTGGGAATGTTTAAAGTCCACCCGGAGATCCCAGAGTCCATGTCCGCAGAGGCCAAGGCGTTCATATTGAAATGTTTTGAACCGGACCCCGACAAGAGAGCCTGTGCTAACGACTTGCTTATTGACGAGTTCTTAAAAGTTTCAAGCAAAAAGAAGAAGACGCAACCTAAGCTTTCAGGTATGTGGTTGCATTGAGGAGGATGTGAGGCAGAGTCACTAAACCCTCAGCCTTTAAGGTAGATTTTTCTAGAAGTAAGGTAATCTGTTATAGATAGGTATCACTGGAAATTCATGTAAACATTAGCTGAGTGTTCTCAGATGTTCAGTTTTGGTATCAGGAAGCTGTCTTACCATCGATTTCACAAAGGCCAGGGCCTCATACATAATAGTCTTTCATCACCTGGTTAGTAGGTAGGTAGTATATCAGTAGCTATAGCATTCTGGCATCACTGATACAATGGTTACAGCATAATGGGGTGAAATACAGCTTTTTAGAGCTGAAACTTTAAATCACCACTGATGAGCTACAGGGCTATTATGGAGCTGTTAAAACTTCCAAGCCATCCAGATAATATGTTCTTTTAATTTTAGTCAGTGGAAAATACCTGTTGCCTCTTAGAGAATATTGTTTGGAATAACTACTACCTGCCCTCTGCAAGAAAAAAAAAAAAAAAAAGAAGAGAAGATTGTCAGTTACTTAAAAAAAAAAAAAAAAAAAAGCAGTGTGAAAATATACACTGTCTCTTGCAATAGTTTCCATAGCTTATTTCAGAAAGGAAAGGCAAGTAAATGATCCATTTGTTATTGGCATTTTTGTGCTTATTTGGGATGAGTGTAGATGGGTTGAATGTTTGGAAAGGACATTGATCCCTTTTCAAGCACTTTTTCATTATTTCTGTTTAACAACAAAGCCAACATGTGTTCATGTTGCTGTTTGCTCTTCTTTCCACAGCCCTCTCAGCTGGATCAAATGGTGAGTTCGTTTTTATATTTTGCCCACCGAGCCAAAGCTTGGTGCATCGTGCGATATAAACTCTAGATTTCCCATTAAAAAGCCTCATCCTCTGCTTTTTGCCTCCATGTGAGGCTCCTGGGTAGCAAGGATATGTGCAGCTGAAGCCTGGCTGGGCCATTCCTTCAGAAACCCCTCTTCTCCCCCAGAAAGCAAAAACAGATGTGCTAACCTAATTAACAGCTAAAATCCCGCTTGGGATTGTTCTTAGGTGTGACTGAGAACTTCATGACTCCTGTTAATTAAAACTATAAACTATAACCTGGCCTAGTTCTCCTAAATGAACACAGCTGCAGGACTCTTCCTTCCCCAGGTATTTTTATAGGTCATACACCGTTTCTGTCCAGAGGATAAGCCACGGCTTTACCTGGAGGGGCCCCCACCTCCAATAGCTGTACTCGGCTTCCCCTCAAAAGGGGGATGGGAGGGTGGTGGTGAGGAGGGTCTCCTTCCCCCTTAGGGAGACATGACTTGTCCAATACAGGACTGCTCTCCCTTTGCCACACATAGACCCAGAGAATTAAGTAAGTCATTTTAACCTAATACGCACTTACTGTGCATTCACTGTGTGCCCAAGAAATGTGCTAGGCCCTGAATATATAAGGATGACAAAAGCATAGTTCCTGACTTTAAGGAGCTGTTATTCTTAGAGGGGAGATGCACAAGGAATAAATCAACAACACCGTAGTGTAATTTAGTCAGTACAGAGAGGGTTGTAAAGGGGGACAGAGTGATTGACATCAGTCTATGAAAGTGGTTCCAAGGAAGACTTTCTAGTGAGGCAACCCCCAATGAATAAGGATGAACTTGAGTTTAACAGGTGGCTGGGGAGTGGGGAGCCAGATGAGGTCAGTCCTAACCTGAGTTAATGCAGCGTGTGTGAAACCCCACGGTGTGAAGGGAGCAGGACGTGGCTCAGAACTGCTGGTACTTAAAATACATGGGGAAGAGAAGAAGCTGGAGGTGGTACAGCAGGGTCATATCCCAAAGGGCTCCACGTGAGAATTAGCAAAGAGGAGTGGAGAACCGGGGAAAGACTGTAATCTGGAACTAAAAGCACGGGGTCTATAATTCTATGATAATAGAAACGTCCTATGTCTACACTGCCTGATCGTTAGCCACTACCAGTGATGTTAGCTTTAAGAGCTTGATGTCTAATAGCAATGAAGACCGTGCTCCCAAGCCTTGAGTCCGTATTTGGCCAAGCTAGCCGCTGTTTTGTCCATTCTGCCATCTATTCCTGTAAACACGAAGTGAAACAAAGCACACGAGAGATCACAACAGCTCCCGGAAATGTCCTCTCGAAAGCAGTCCTGTGTTTGGGGCCCCGACAAACCTTTCTCTTCTTAGGCAACCTTACTATTACCAGCAAGTAAGAGGTTACCCTTTTGCTTTCTGCTGTAGCAGCACTTCCTAAAATATAGTCCGTGAAATGCTGGGTCCATGAGCTGTTCCAGAAAAATGGGAATTCCATGGTCAAGTAAATTTGGGAAATAGCGCATGTGAGCACTTTCCCCTGCCATGTATTTTCAGTGTACCAATTTGCACGTCTCTATACATTGAAATAAGGAATTGTGGTGTTAAATTGGTAAACTCAGAGCAGCTCTTCTTAGCTTCATCTCAGTTCCTACCTTCTAGTAATTCAGCAGTGTAACAAATTTAGTGACAGCAGGTGGGTCAACCAATTCATCCTTGAGAGATTTTCTAGTTGCTGATCAGTGAGATGGTTTCCCCAGAGATGAACTATCCCCGGAAGCTGTATATACTTCTCTTCTTCCTCTCTACAGCTGGAACCAAAGCCAGGTACCTCTCTAACACCTGCTTTCTTCACCTGAGCTACAAGGGGGCTAGAATAATAGAATGGCCCTGCATGACATTTTTGATATAATCAAGGGGTAGGACATGTCCTACCTGCAAGATTCTGTGATTAAGGAAGCTCCTGGATACGGCTGGAAAACCCTTTTCCTAAGATTCAGCAGCTTGGAAGAGCTTCCCAGTGATAGGGCAATACATTTTCAGAGAAATGTCACTTTCTGCTATGTAATGGGATTTTTTTTTTTTCATCTTCTGAATCATCACTAATTGTGTCATTAGGTAAATCAAGCTCTTGGCTATACAGTGTTACCACCTGTTGAATATTTGCTTGTGAAAAGTATTTTTTATCACGTGTATTTTTCTGATTATAAACATAATACATGTTTATTGAAGAAGGTTTTAAAATTTTGGAAAAATGAAACAAAATCACAATCACCCCAAATCACATCTTGTGGGAATAACTACCATTAATAATATGCGTTCTTTGGTATATTTTCTTACAGTTATATATATAACAGAATAAAACACACACACACACACACACACACACACACACACACACACATACATGGAATCATAAGGAATAGAGTCTGGTAATAGTTGGAGGAAGGGAAGGAAGAAAAGAAAGAAAAGGTCTGTCTGGCTTTCCTATGTTTGTAAATCAGATGAGTGCTTCTCAAACACGTCCATCTGTCTGATCATTGTCATGGCCTACCGCCACCCCCCCTTGCTGCGAATCATTATTGATTTGCAGTCACAGCAGACAGAGTCGAGAGGCCACTTGACCACTTGCTGACTGACCATCCCATGTCTTTGATACTGGGGCAGTTGTTGATTCAGCCCAGCCCAAGACGAATTAGGTAAAAAAGGGATTCTAGGCAACAGTGGCTTTCCTTTTTTATAATTTTATATCTGCCTTCTTTAGTAAGGCCTTTTGTAGTATTGGGACACTTGTTAGGGAAAGATGATTCTGGAAAAAATTACTTTCTTTAAAATCAATATTTGATGATATGTTGGCGATTCCTACTGTGCCAGGTCAGTCTCCTCCAAAATAAAAGCCCATGTTCACTGTGGACTCACAGTACCTGAGAACTGGGAAAGACCTAGGAGATCACATAGTCTAATGGTTTCCACAATTCGTGTTTGGCAAAGAACCCTTTTTCATATGAATCCTTAAACAGAACCCTGATATATAAGACTGATAGAGCACATCTGTTTTGGGCAAAACAGGTTTGGAACTTGTGTTCTAGAATCACAGAATCCTACTCACTCACCCCAACTAAGGCAGCCCCGAGATGCTAAGATGGGCCCTTAAGCCCGTGAGGAACATGGTTTAAAAAATAGGAATCTGGAGGTACCTGGGTGCTCAGTCAGTTGAGCATCTGACTTTGGCTCAGGTCATGATCTCGCAGTTCATGAGTTTGAGCCCCACATAGGGCTGGCTGCCGTCAGCCTGTCAGTGCAGAACTCACTTCAGATCCTCTGTCCCCCTCTCTCTGCCTTGCCCCTGCTTATGCTCTCCCCGCCAAAAACAATTAAATAAAAAATATGAATCTGGTCCTTTATTTATAGACATGAGAACTGAGACCCATAAATTGCCTTCCTAATGTCTGACAGGTGGTCAATAGAAATGAGGAGATTGGAACCCAGGACCTCTGGGTCTGGTGCTTCTTCTACTTTTTCACAGCCCTGACGTATTCCTTTCTGGGCCTGGGAGACCTTGACCTTGCCCACCCTCCCAACCCCCGCAGGGATTGGACATGGAGCACGGGGAGAAATTAGGATCCATGACCATCCTCTTAGGTAGCATAATTTTACTAGTCATTGCAATGCCACACTTGACAATGAATATTGCTCTCTTTTGGTGCGTGTTTAGTATGTGTAAATTTTTTTTCAATGTTTATTCACTTTTGAGAGAGGCAGAGACAGAGACCGAGTGCAAGTGGGGGAGGAGCGGAGAGACAGGGAGACACAGAATCCGAAGTGGGCTCCAGGCTCCCAGCTGTCAGCACAGAGCCCAGCCTGACGCGGGGCTCGAACTCACGGACCATGAGATCATGCCCTGGGCTGAAGTTGGACGCTTACCCAACTGAGCCACCCAGGTGCCCCTGGCATGCATACATTTCTAAAAGCATGAATGAGCGTTTCCCCCTCTCGTGATAAGCAGAGTATCTTAGAAGCATATCCTTGCCCGTGCCCGTCTTGGTGGAGGACACCAGCAGCAGCAGCGAATATGGCTCGGTTTCTCCGGACACGGAGTTGAAGGTGGATCCCTTCTCTTTCAAGACGAGAGCCAAATCCTGTGGAGAGCGAGACGTAAAAGGAATACGGACACTCTTTCTGGGGTAAAGACCTGACTTACTTTGGGTGAAAGAAGTACGTCATGTGTCATTTTATGAAGGACACCATGATTTATGCTGCATTAAATTCTTAACAGCATTCCAGACGAAAATTTCGAAGACCACAGCGCTCCACCCTCCCCTGAAGAGAAAGATTCTGGATTTTTTATGCTGAGGAAGGACAGTGAGAGACGGGCCACTCTTCACAGGATCCTGACCGAAGACCAAGACAAAGTTGTGAGGAACTTAATGGAATCTTTGGCTCAGGTAACACCTCTCATGGATACTTGGTTTTCCAGACTTTGCATACTTTCACTGTGTCATCACCCCTTGGAACTGTCGCAGGCCATGTGGAGACAGGAAGGAACTGTAGGGCTCTTGAGGATGAAACCTGGCCTCCCCCAGACAGGAAAAAAACCAAATCTCCGATGTAAAAAACCACATTAAAAAAATTTTTTTATTTATTTGTGAGAGAGAAAAAGAGAGGGCAAGAGGGGGAGAGATGGAATCTGAAGCAGGCTCCAGGCTCTGAGCTGTCAGCACAGAGCCCGACTCTGGGCTTGAACTCACAAACCGTGAGATCATGACCTGAGCCGAAGTCGGACGCGTAACCGACAGAGCCACCCAGGTGCCCCTAGAAACCACACTTCTGAACATAACTATTTGTAAGTCACAAGCACACTTTCCGTGTTGGTCAGGTTCCAACGAGCTACAAGCCACTGTGACCCTTCGTTCATTTGTTTATGAATTCAATCTGTTTATCAATTCAGTTATCAATTCAACATGCATTGAGCCACATGACTTGATAATTCGGACAGTGGCACAGGGCTCCCTGCCAGTCTCCTCTGAGCATTTAGGAAAATACTGCAAACACAAGGGCCCCCCTGCTTGTGGGGCTATATTCAGATGGACAGAGGGTGACAGGCAATAATGAGTAAATTATGTAGTGTGTCAGAAGGCCACATATGCGATGAAAAAACAAAGCCGCTCAAACCCTTATTCCCTCTTGTATTCGTTTGCTGGGGCTGCCTTAACAGAATACCACAGACTGAGTAGCTTCAACAGCAAATTTGCTTCTCACACTTCTGAAGACTGAAAGTCTAAGAGCAGGGTGTTGGCAGGTTTGGTGTCTCCTGAGGCCTTTTCCCGTGGCTTGAAGTGGCACCTTCTCGCCATGTCCTCCCCCAGCCTTCTATCCCTGTGCACCCCGGGGGGGTGTCTCTTCCTCCCCTTGTAAGAACACTAGCCCTATTGGATTAGGGCCCCACTGATATGATCTCACGTAACCTTAATTACCTCCTAAAGACCCTCTCTCCACATACAGTCACATGGGAGGTTAGGGCTTCTACGTGTCAATTAGGGCCAGTGGTGGGGCGGGGGACAGTTCAGTCCCCAATACCTGGGAAAATATGTTCCCTGGGATTCTGCATATCTGTAGATATGAGGAAGAATCCCCTCCCCAAATTTGCCCCAGTAGAAGCAGGGTGTCCCCCAGCTCCAAGCCTCTGGTGATGCCTCCTGTGTTTGGAGCAGAAGCTCAGGTCTCTTGAGGGTATAAGCCTCCACAGACATGCTCGGTCGCAGACATGACACTTGGTGTTTTCTTTTAGTTGCACGGGCGTCAGGGACGTGTCTCCCTGCTCTGGCTCCGGTGGCCACCGTCTGTCTCCCCTGCGCATACCTTCTGCCCTGCCTTCTGTCTTGGGAAAACAGCTGCAAAAAGGGTGTAGCTGGAGGAGTCACGTCAAGTTTGTCTCTCAGGCCAACGGTCTATCTGGTCTCAGCTTGTCCTGGGAGTTAAATGGAGCAACACTCTCTTCCTTGGCTCTTGTCTTTGTCTTGAGAACCCCACTAAGTTCCTCTGCTGATTCCGTCACCTTAGCAATTGTCTAATGCCCACCTCTTTTGATCCCGTAAGAAGGGACGAAGGCCACATGTGTGCCAGCAGGGTCTCTGGGTACAAGACCTGAAATGAACGCCATCTGCACTTTCTGGGAAAACCCTGCTTGGGTCCTGAAGGAAAGCTGTCTCGAGCGGTTATTCTGAGGCCCAGAAAGGAGGGGCTCTGGGCTGGGGGGCAGCGAGTGAGTACCCGGGACTCTGCACAGGAATGGTGGGGGGTGTGGAGGACACGGGAGTAGTCTTGAACCTGTAGCTTTCTCTCTTGCCTTTCCTTCTGCTCACTCTGGTCATTCAAGGACGGGGGAACCATATTTAAAAAATTTTTAAGTTCATTTATTTCGAGAGAGAGAGAGAGAGAGAGTGAGTGTGGGGGAGGGACAGAGAGAGAGGGAGACAGAGGATCCCAAGCAGGCGCCACGCTCTCAGAGCAGAGCCCGACACAGGGCTCTCTATCTCATGCGCCTCAAGATCACGACCTGAGCCAAAATCAAGAGTCAGACACTTAACCAACTGAGCCACCCAAGGTGCCCCGGAAGGGGAACCAGATTCAGATGAAAGGTGCATCTGGGCAGCAACTGGAAGTCGTTCATTCATTCAGCAAATATGTATTAACCTTCTACTGAATGACAATCACTCGTCTGTGTGCTGTAGATACTACAGTGAACAAAACTGTAAGAAAATGTACCCCATTGCAGCTGACATTCTAGTGGGGGAAGAAAAAACAATAAAAATTAGTAAAGATATAGTAGTGGTAGCAAGGTATACAGCCACACATACAGTTATAATATATAGTATGAATAGTAAACCTATAGTAATAATATATTCCGTGTGGCGTAATAAGAGCAAACATTTTGCATGAGCCAAGTATTGTTCTTAGTATTTCATGTGTATTCACTCATTTAATCCCCATGGCAACAGCGCTATAGTGATAGTTCTGTTGGCATCCTCGTTTTGAGAAGCGGACACAGAGGCACAGAGTTGTTGAGTAACTTCCCCAGGCCACACAGCCCTAAGCAACGGAGTCAGGATTTAGACCCCCACAGTCTGGCTCCAGGCTCCGTGCTCTTAACCACCACACCGTTCTCCTCCCTGGGTGACGGCTCCCACACGGCGACCAGTGCTGGTAGAAACATAAAGCAGGGGAGGGATTGGTGCTTTACGTGGGGAAGGAAAGGAAATCACCGTTAGCCGCTGTGAAGACTTCTCCGCACGGTGGCCACTAGTGCAAGGTGCCTGTCGGAGGTCAGAAACATGGGGAATGCGGGCATTGCCCAAATCTCATCATCACCCCAAAGGATGTGCTCCTCCAGCGCAGAAAGTGTCTGCTTGTTTGGGGTTTTTGAAGGTCCACCAGGCAGGACTGCCGTGACCATTGTCAGGGTCCCAGCTCTCAGCGCAGAGCCTGGCAGGAGACTTCACTTCCATGACTGTGCTGAAAGTCTTAAATTTCGCTGTTGGTTAATCCTGTTTAATTGTCTGTGACTTCCTGTTTTTTTCATGCACACTTGAATGTTTTCCATAGAAGGAGAAAGAAAAATACTCTTAAAAGCAACCATCAGACGGCATGTGCTGGTGCACCCGCCTGAAGGGACCGGTGAGAAACTGTGGGTCAGAATCCCATGCTAAATCCCGAATCATCCGGTGATAGCAAGGGTCCTTCTGAATGCATCGCTAAGGATGCTGTGACGTCACATGCTGGCCTAGAGGTAGAGCAGGTCCCAATCTAGGCTTACTGCCGGCTCTTCCAGCTGATGGGGGCAGAAGAATGCAATTATTAGGAGCCTGGGCTCAGCCTCAGCTTGCCTCTGCTTGAGGCCTGGCCCCACCACTTCCAGGCTGTGTGATTTAACTACTCCGAGGCTGAATTTCCTAATCTATATGACCGAGGAACGCTGGTATCTACCTCGTGGAGTTTCTATAGGGAATAACTAAGACCATGAGCAATTGAGATAATAATAGAGAGTGTGTCACACATGTTACTGTTATTATTGCTGCTGTGACCGTTATCAAGCAAGCTAATCCTAGTTGTCTCATCTCTTTCAGTTTTTTCTACAACCAGATGGAAATAATTATTTTCATTGCCTTAAATATCTCTAGACACATCTTTACATGTAAGCCTTTACATGTAAGCCCTTTTGTAACAAGACCAAGCATGGAGATGTTGGTCAGGTCCCCAAACCAGCCCACAAAAGCCCTTTCAACCTGTAACATCCTTCTGAAGCTCACTCATCATTTTGAGAAGGTTTAAAGGATAAAGACTAGAGAGCACCTTTGCGGAAGAATCTGGATGGTACCGAGTGCTAGGAAAGGCACACCTGTCAGATGGCACCTTCTGACGCTGAATCAGGCTCCCTGGTACCCGAGATGCTCATTTGTGTAAGCATGCTGATGAGTGCACATGAACACAGGAGTTAGAACAGAAATACCGATTATGTAAGTGGATGAAATACCCCAGACAGAAAACATTTGTCAGAGTCGACAGCGTTCCTCTGTAGGACAGTGGCACACACGTCCAAAAGACCGGAAGCAACATGTTTTTCTGTTGTGAAAACAAAGCTAATGTCAGGAAAATGTTTGCTGTTTCATCTGCTGGCAAACATGTATCTGACTTGTCACTAAGATAAGCTTCCAACTTCTGAATAACTCACATTTTTCTTCTTGAACATATTTTCATGTTATTATGATATTGCCTGTGAATCTTTACTTTGGGTGTAATTTAGTTGGCGGTAAGAAAAGAAACAAAGTTTGTAATTGTTCCCAGTCTGGTTTTAATTCCCTTAATGACAGCTTTCAAGCTTTTCAATATAATCTTTTCTCAGGAAAACATAAACATGAGAGAGAGCTCCCCAAATGAAAATATACTGAGAGAAAGAACTTGATGGTACATTTATTTAATTTTAATAGAATCCTAGAAATTGTAATTTTCACAGCCCAATTGAGGAATTTAACTTTTATAGTGTAGTAACAAAATGTGCACTAGGAGATAGAAATGAATATAATAAAAATCTCGTTTCTTGAAGTTAAATGAGGATAAGTAACACCCTACTATCTTTCCTTTAAAGAAACAAGGTTCCTTGTACAAAGTAGAAAAATTCACCTTGACAGAAGGAATGTGTTTACTTATCGTATTATATTTTTAATATGTAAAAATATTGTCCATTGGTTCATTCTTACAACTAATGGCCTTGTTGGTGGGTAAGCAATTATTTCAAGCGTGGAGTTTGAAGTCAGCACCCCCCTTTTAAAAAAAATTTTTTTTTGTTTATTTTTGAGAGAGAGAGAGAGTATGAGCACGGGGAAGGGGCAGAGAGAGAGGGAGACACAGAATCCGAAGCAGGCTCCAGGCTATCAGCTCAGAGTCTGACATGGGACTCGAACTCACAAACTGCAAGTTCATGACCTGAGCTTAACCGACTGAGCCACCCAGGCACCCTTGAAGTGAGCCCCTTGTGGTTGAAAGGAATTGACACACTTCAAGGGCAGTTGCAGTTCTGGGGGCACATTGTAGGTTGCCTCACGTACCAGTGAAGGAGGGGGGCATCTTCAGGTATTCCAGCGATGGTGCCTAGCCCAACCTCACAGAGACTGAAACTAGTGAGTGATTCTGAGGGCCTTCACTTGCCAGGAGTTTGTCCGTCCTTTCTTGGGTTTGGCTGCTCTTGGCCCTCGTGGTGTGCCGTTTCTATTTCTGCGCATTCCCTTCTCCTTTCCACATAGATTGTCATTCTCAATGCTATTGCTTCTGCTTCCTTCCTTATAACTAGATGTACTCCTGCTATTTTTTTTAAAAAAATGTTTTAAGTTTATTATTTTTTCAAGAGAGAAAGAGAACTAGCTGGGGAGGTGGAGAGAGAGGGGAGTACAGAGGATCCCAAGCAGGCCCCATGATGACAGCAGAGAGCCCCATGTGGGGCTTGAACTCGTGAACCATGAGATCATGACAGCCTAAATCAAGAGTCGGTTGCTGGGGTGCTGGGTGGCTCAGTCAGTTAAGTGTCCGACTTCAGTTCAGGTCATGATCTCGCGGTTCATGAGTTCGGGCCTCGCGTTGGGCTCTGTGCTGACAGCTCAGAGCCTGGACCCTGCTTCAGATTCTGTGTCTCCCTCTCCCTCTGCCCCTCCACCACTCATTCTCTCTCTCTCAAAAATAAATAAACATTTAAAAAAAAAAAAAGTGGGATGCTTAACCAACTCAGCCACCCAGGTGCCCCTCATGCTGCTATTTTAGGACTTATTTCTCTAGACTGACTTTGAGCTTAAGATCCTATGGCTCATTGTCTGATCTCTCTTTAGTCCCCCATTAAAATTTCTGAGCAAGAATTTTATTGCCTCAGCCTGTCCCTGTTCGGGCAAAGCTCTCTACATCTGACTAAATCGTACCTATTCACCAATGTATGGGGTAGGTACCCTTCCTCCCAAAGTCTGATTATTCTTGGGGTGGTGGGTGGGGGTGGGGGTGGAGCATCGAGTTCAAATCTGGTCTTTTTCCCTTAGCTGGGGGCACTTTGAAGCCCAGTTCCGATCAAGGGCTGTGAGAATGGCAGGCTCATGACTAATGTGTCCCACACAGATCAACTGACAGGTTAATTTATTCACAGGGGGCTGAAGAACCTAAACTAAAATGGGAACACATCACAACCCTCATTGCAAGCCTCAGAGAATTTGTGAGATCCACGGACCGAAAAATCATAGCCACCACACTGTCTAAGCTGAAGCTAGAACTTGACTTTGACAGCCATGGCATTAGTCAAGTTCAGGTGGTACTCTTCGGTTTTCAAGATGCCGTAAGTATGACATTTTGCTGCTGTCTTCCCACAAACGGCCAACGAAAATCAGCAAAATAAGATAAGACATAAGTTCTGTTTTCTTTCTTTAAGAATGTTGATGAATGTCTTTTTCGATGATTAAGCGTGAGCTGGTTGGTTGCCTCTCTGTGAGCTGCTAAACAGCAGATTCGTTGTTGTATGTGTTTGTATCTTCCAAAGTTAGATACACGTGATATTGAACACCGTGGGAAATAGCAAAACTAACAGACAGCTCCCATGGCTGAACTGTGTGCTTATGAAATCACGTAGCCAGTCACTATTTGTTCTTTTGACTTTAGCCACACTGCCCACTGTAGTGGTTCACTTTCTAATTCTGTACGTGGACTGCCATCTAGTGGTCATTGAGAAAAATGCAATGGTACAGATGGGAATGATCCTGCTAAGTAAAACCAATACTTTCTTTTTCTTTTTTTCACTTTTTCTCTGGTTTCCATGCACAACACTTTAAACATGTTTGTTTAAAACATATTAATTCGTCACTAAATGAAAATCAATCCACATGATCTAATGAGAGATTGCTGAAGGCTCTGCCCTCTCAAATGGAGTTGCTATGCAACACCAACTAGAAGCCCGTCTTTCAAAACCCTGATTCAACACACAACATGCTATTCCTGAATAAGACTTATCTGTGGAACTCTGTGGCAAGAAAGCTTGAAGTGACTCCTAGAAGGTCTTCACAGGGTGAGGGAGACTGAAATAAGAGAGTTCCTGATGGCGCCTCGGGTATAAATATAGAAGCACTTTGCATAATTGTATTTAAATCCCCCAAATTAACTCACTCCTAATGTGTTTATTTCTCCTACATAGATGCCTTGACAATTGTATTTCGTGCACCAAATGACCTCTCATTTAAAACCAAATTATAATCCTTCAATGGCCACTGGTGTTCTCTGAAACTCTGTGTAAGCTTCTTGGTCTTTGTGCTGTCCTGTGGACGGGAACAGCACTCCTGACTCAACTGAGATCCTGGGTAATGAAAGCAACTGGCAAAGCCCATCACTAATAATTAAATGCTAAAGGCACACTTCACTGCAACTAGGGAAACCTAACCATCTGCAAACAGAATGAAAGAATTTACTGATTTTGCACTTGCCCACACATTTGACTTCCAGCCTACAGGCTGGGAAACAAATTGGCCAGTAGAATTCAGATTGAGAGTGGATTTGTTTTAATCATGGGCCTCAGGCCTGGGTCTTACACACACACACACACACACACACACACACACACACACACCTGCTCTTGCTCAATCACTGTCCAGGATGGGAATGAACCCCAATAATGTGCCCTGTTTGATGAAGAGCTATGAGGAGTGGGTCATAGTTCTAGAGGATCCTTTTCCATCTTCTGTGTGGGACTCTTGAGAGAAATGTTCCAGTTACTTAATGCTATACTCCACACTGGTCACAGAAGCAGGCAAATTCTTTAAGAAATGAAGGTACCAGAACAAACTCATTCTGAAAGGATTTCCTAGAACAAGTGCGAACCTAGCAGTGGTTCACTTCCTTTTTGGAGCAACTACTCTGAGGAATTTCTCAGACTGACTCCTTTCTAAACTGGGGGATTTTTTTTTAATAAGAGAGAGAAAAGGAGAGAGCATGAGTAGGGGGAGGGGCAGAGGGAGAGAGAGAAAATCCCAAGCAGGCTCCACTCTCAGTGTGGAGCCCCACATGGGGCTTGACCCCACGACTCTGGGATCGTGACCTGAGTCAAAACCAAGAGTCAGACACTCAACAGACTGAGCCACCCAGGCACCCCTAAACTGGGGGATTTTGATGGGGGGCCAAGGGCAATAATAAGCAACTGGAACCCCAGCTTTTGGCGTGGGCTTGCAGCTAGGTCACCATCTCCCTTGCTCCCTCTAAAATCTCTGGTCCCCCTCTCTCTCTCTCTCTCTCTCTCTCTCTCTGTCTCTCTGCCCCCCCCATTCGCTCTGTTTCTCTCTCAAAAAAAAAAATAATAATAAACATTCAAAAAAAATTTAGTAAAATCTCTGGTCAGAGCCCTGTGGGGAAAATAGCCACTTTTCTTAGAGGGTCATGTCGACCAGCAATTAGTGGAGTTAACTCAAATTTTAAAGAAGCCTCTTTTAGCTTTATGCTAATGGTTATTTTTTTTTTAATTTTATTTATTTATTTTTAGTTTTTTGAGAGAGAGCACGCACAGTGAGGGAGAGGCAGAGGGAGAGGGAGCCCAGGCAGGCTCCACACTCAGCTCAGTATGGAGCTCAATCCTTTGACCCTGAGATCATGACCTGAGCCAAAATCAACAGTCAAATGCCCAACCGACTGAGCCACCCAGATGTCCAATAATTATTTTTTTAAGTTTTTATTTATTTATTTTGAGAGAAAGAGAAAGTGCAAGTGGGGTAGGGGCAGAGAAAGAGGAGAAAGTGAGTTTCATAAGCAGGCTCTGCACAGGCAGCGGGGCTCGAATGCAAGGCTCAAACACAGGGCTCAAATGCAGGGCTAAAACATGGGGCTCGAACTCACAAACTCTTACGACCATGACCTGAGCCAAAGTCAGACGCTCAACCAACTGAGCCACCAAGGCGCCCCTGATAAAGGTTATTTTTTGAAAGATAATGCATATTATTAGTCACTAAAAAAAAGATACCCTTACGACCCAGACTTTCACTGTAAACAGCATTTCTGGAATATTCTAGCAGCTTCCTCCTCAGAGTCACAATACTGAAGGTCAGTGTTTATTTTTATTTAAAGCCCTTGGATTCTTTTTTCCTCCTTTACCACCTCCATCATCCAATCTGAAGTCATCATAAAAAATGGAAGTTGCATGCTCTGAGTCCTGAAGAAGCAACATTTCATTTAACCAGACTGCCTTTGATTTGCTTACATGGGGATCACCAGACTTTAATTTGAAATGGCACTTTTTTATTGTTTTCTGGTGACATAAAGAAATTACTCACAGTTCAAGGTGAAGAAACCTTATAGTTGTTTCGTTGATAGAATGTCATCCAGATGCTTGTGTCAGCTAGGTTATTTGCAACTAAAAATTAAAGTAGACTAAATGTCACCCTCTTTCTCCAGGTCAATAAAGTTCTTCGGAATCATAACATCAAGCCACACTGGATGTTTGCCTTAGACAGTATCATCCGAAAGGCGGTGCAGACGGCCATCACCATTCTGGTGCCAGGTCAGAAATAATTACTTTGCAAATATTTAGTGTTTGATATTTTAGATTACTGTTCAACTATCATTTATGGTGTCTTCTTTACTGCGTTTCAGATCAACTTAGCCTTTTGTAAAAATCTTTTCAAAGCCACTAAATTTATCTAGTGCATATAGTCTAAGGAATGTACTACACCAAGCCAAATGCTTACTATGGGTGAGGAAGGTTGCTTCCTTGTTTTTAAAGAGCATATTTGGATATGGGGGGAAAGAGGAAATTGTGCAGGTGACCCAAATATGTATACATTTTAGTATACGGTTATCTGTGTCCACAAAACGCCCTCTTGCTGGTGGTTCCCAAACCTGCCAGTGTGCATTGAGTGATATCAGCAGCTCTTTAAATTTATAGCTTTTCAGGCCCCATCCCAGACTGAGTGAGTAAGAATCTGCTGGGAAAAAGCCCAGGAATCTGATTTTAATCCAGCTCCCAGGTCATTTTGATACACAGCCAGGTTTGGAAATCACTGGTCTAGACAGATCCCAGCTATGCTTGCAGGGAGGTACAAAAGGGGTAGTGTTGATGAAACAGGGTTTTATGGAGTGAGAGACACATTCAAGTTCTAAGGCATACTTCCAAAGTACTTTGATAGTGTACTCACTAATGAAAAATTTTAAGCAAAGCTCTTCTATGTGTGTGTGTGTGTGTGTAGAGAGAGAGAGAGAAATGATAGATAGATAGATAGATAGATAAAAAGATTTAGATACATAAATTAGAAATATGTTATACTAATTTATACATGTTTTATAAAACATTCTAGGGGCATCTGGGTGGCTAGTCGATTGAGCATCTGACTCTTGATTTTGGCTGAGATCATGATCCCAGGATCGTGGGATTGAGCCCCGTGTCAGGCTCTGTGCTGAGCATGGGGCCTGCTGGGGATTCTCTCTGTTTCTTCTTCTGCCTCTCTCCCCTGTTCATGCTCTCTCACTTAAATAAAAAGAAAAAACCAAAAAAAAAAAAACACTCCAAAATAGAAATTTAAAAAGATAAGATAATTATGAAATATCTTAAAATTTAGTTTATTTACAAATGGTACCACAAACTTTTAAGTCATCATCAGTCCTTCCAAGTTGTGGGATTCCCTCTCTTCTCTCAGAATACCTTGTTTGTTTTGTGAGTGAGGGCACTAGGGTCTGTCTTTATATTAAACCTTTGTCAAGATTAAGTAAAGATTAGGGTAGAAAATTTGCATAGAAATTTTAAATTAGAAAAAAATTCTACAAAGGCGCTAAAACACATAACTAGCAGTTAGATGTGAACCCTGGGAAAGCCGTGCTAGTGTAAACCTAATGTAATGCTCTAAGGAAGTTAACAGATTCTTACATTTAGATGACTTATCATTGGGATGGTCTTGGATGTGAGGAATGTACTCTAGAGGGGTTATATAGTGAAAAGATGCGAGGGGTGAAGGGGAATAGGTGTGTATTAGAGAGGAACAGACATAGGCAGAAGTTAAACACGGTAGTTTAAGTGAGCAAAGGTGCGAGATATTATACTTTGATGTATTTAGCATATAAAATATCTGTTAGTCTAATTTTTTAAAACTTCCCTTTAAAAATGGATTACTTAAATGCAATGGATGATATCCTGGAATAGAAAAAAAAATTAGTGGGAAGCACAGGCTGTCGGGTTAAGCGTCGACTTCAGATCACGATCTCATGATCCGTGATTCCGACACAGCATCCGAGCTCTAACTGATGGCTGGGAGCCTGGAGCCTGTTTCCAATTCTGTGTCTCCCTCTCTCTCTGCCCCTCTCCCGTTCATGCTCTGTCTCTCTCTGTCCCAAAAATAAATAAACGTTAAAAAAAAAAAAAAAAAAGAAAGAAAAAAAAATTAGTGAAAAACTTGTGTCTGAATAAAGCCTGTGGTTTAGTTAATAGTATTGTACCAATGTTAATTTCTTAGCTTTGATGACTATGCCATAGTTATATAAGATGTATTGGGGGGAGTTGGGTGGAAGGTATACGGGAATTCTCTGTATTACCTTTGCAATGTTTCTGTCAATCTAAAAATTCTTCCAAAATAGAAAGTTCACAGAGCACGCTGACCTTCACACTGTGGTTAACAGGCTGGTAATTCAGGGAGAGTGCAGAGAGTCATGTCTCCTTCTGCTCCAGCGGGTGTCCCAGGGATTGGCACTCTGCTGTCACCCAACCCATGTGTGGAACGTTCTCTATGAAGACGGTTTGCTAAGGAAAGCTGTTTGTCCTTCCACTGTGGAATCGGTCCCTCTGAGGCTACTAGAAGTTCGAATGAAAACCAAAATTATTGTTTGCAAGCATTTAAAAAAGAAGTGGAATTTTTTTTTAAATTAATTTATTTATTTTGAGGGGGAGAGTGCCAATGAGCGAGCAGGGGAGGGGCAGATTGAGAGGGAGAGAAAGAGAATCCCAAGCAGGCTCTGTGCTGTCAGCACAGAGCCGGATGCAGGGGTTGATCTCCTGAACTGTGAAATCATAACCTGAGCCGAAATCAAAAGCCGAATGCAGAATTGACTGAGCCACCAAAAAAGTGGAAATTTTAGAGGACAATAACTAGAGGAAGTATTTTTTATATTCCTCCCAGGTTAGGGGGAAACCATATGCATTTATATGCCAGTGCATAAATGATGAAATATGCGAACAAGAGAAATTGATTTCAAGCAGTTGAGAGTTCCATCAAATTTCTGAATGTCCCTAAAGATTTTGTTATACAATTGAGATTCAAAGAAACTGCATTAAAAATGCTTGTCTTGGGGCGCCTGGGTGGCTCAGTCGGTTAAGCGTCTGCCTTCGGCTCAGGTCATGATCTCACCATTTGTGAGTTCGAGCCCCGCGTAGGGCTCTGTGCTGACAGCTCAGAGCCTGGAGCCTGCTTTGGATTCTGTGTCTCCCCCTCTATCTACTCCTCCTCTGCTCATGCTCTGTGTCTCTCTGTGTCTCAATAATAAATAAACGTTAAAAAAAATGCTTGTCTTCACAATCCCTTGTTAAAAATTTCTTCTAGACAGAACACCACAAATAAAATGTGTGTGACATATTGAAATGTATGTCATCATTAGTGCATACATTCCCTGGGTCTGTCCACCGAGAGGACCCAAATCTTAGTATCTAAACACCATTTTCCAGTAAAAGGAATCCGTGCTCCCTGGAGAGATGGTTGATTCCAGGCCTGGGGTAGGGGAAATACAGGTGAGCCTGGAATAGCTTGGTGATGCCAAAAAGTAAGGAAGTGCCAAAATGGATGGAGCGTTTTTGAAAGGACACCGCAGACCACACCCATTTGAAGGAGTTCCCCAAAGTGTAAGCCAGAACGATTTGAGCAATAAAATAAAATAATAATAGCATATTAGAATAAACCAAATATCTCTAAGTCTACACGAATATAAATAATTGAATACACAAATAAATGCAGGAAAAGAGCCAGCTCTTTTTTACAGAATTCCAGTTAATAAAGGTAGCAGGTATGAGGGAAATAGAACATCACCATTCAGCAAACGGCACAGTAATGATTCCTGCAGGCAAGAAACATCAATGGCTGCTGAAATCAGTCGGCACAGGAGTAATGAGAAACAGGATATTTGAATGGTTGCGCGGTATCTACCCACAAGATTATTTAGTAATTTCAAAGGGAGAACAGTGACTTTACCGTAGGGAAACCAGCAGATACCTCCTTTACCAAGCAATCAAGGTAAGCATTGCCAGTAATAGGACACATCACCCCGTACGTCCTGATGGGAGACCCTTAGTAGTGAACAGCATCACCTTTGTGGTTTTCTTCCCAGAAAACGCACAGCCTCAACCTAAACATAAGATGTCGAACTCCAGAGGAGGGTCATGGTACTCCTCGAAAGTGTGGAGGTCGTGGGAGATAAAGAAATAGTTGGGTACTATCTCAGACTGGAAGGGACTAAGGAGACATGGTAACAAAATGCAGTGTGGGATTCTGGTTCAGGAAAAGGACATCAGTGGGAAAACTGGTGAAACTCAAATAAGGTCTGTGGATTCCTTCGTGGTGTGTCAACGTCCATTTCCTGGTTTGGATCCTCGACCCACCGTTCTGTAAGATGTCAAGTTTGGGGCAAGCTGCCGAAGGATATACGGGAACTCTCTGTACCATTTCTGCAACTTTTTTGTTATTCTAAAAGTATTTCAAAATAAAAAGTACAAAATAAAGAAAGCATTCAATCTTCTCTCTCCCCCCCAAAAGAGCACACAGAACAGAGAGTACAGTGCAAGCCCCTTCGGAGTTTTTTTCTCAGGCAGTTTTCTCACTTGTCATCAAGAATCAGCCTTCAGATGATTGGCAACATTGAGTCTCTGTTGTTACAGTCTGGCTGTGGGTGACCAGATGGAGAAGTGCTGAGCATAGAGACCATGTTGGCAGTGCTAAGAGAGAATTGATAATGTAGGCATACCAACTACATTACCAAAAAATTTTTAAACTGCTAAAGCACTGGGTACTATTAGCAGTGAGGCTGAACTACTCATGTGCCCTGTGTCCACATTAATGTAAAGTGACCAGCATTCTGTACCATGAGCTTCCACTGCACTGACACGGATTGTGATCTTACTTGTTATCAGAAATACCCAGGGTTAAAGAAGCTTGGTCTGATTATTCTCCGGGGAAGGAACCACTTGGGGTGGTGGCTGCGGGTAGGGAAGTGGGAATAGTATTGTTGTTTGATCCCATCTTGCCGTATTAGAAACCAGCACTGGCTCTGGTTTCCCACACATGGGCTTAAGTGCTACCCACTCGTTACAGGGCCCCCTGAGTCCCCGCCTTTCTCCTGACACTTGCCTCTCTCCTGACAGTCCATTCTGCCTTCCACTCTTCTCAGCGGGCTCTGGACCATCAGTTGAACTTCCTTCTCTCAAACACCTCTGCCCCTTTCTCCACCAAGCCAAGGCTTTCCCCTCCTCCAGAGTCCTGCTTAGGCTCTTCTGCTTCCCTGAATCAATCAATGACTAAACCACCACTGGGTCTAGTCACTGCAGATGTACTTTATTTACCTCTTTAGCATTCCTAATACATGTACGTGTGAATGGTATAGGTTGCTAGGTCTATAACTGAGATCATCTCATTTGTGCTTATAATTTCGTGTTATCTTTGTACCTGCTCTTATGGCTCTTCCCATATGCATTCTAGTTCTCCTTTAGATTATTACGTCTTTGAGGACAAGGACCAGATGCTCTATCTCACTTGCAGATTTTACGATGTGTGATTTGATGATGTGTATTCAGGGGGCCACCACAAAAGTCCAAAATAACAAAGTATTGCATTTGCTTACAATTTTCTACTTTATTCAGATTATCGGAGAGAATTTTCTCAGTCTTTTATACATATATAAAATTGAAATTTATGATAAAACATACAGAGTTAGGGCTATGTAAGGAGATGTTTAAATATAATAATAAATATCAGAAATTTTCCCTCCCCAAAAGCGACATTATAGTCAACAGCACAATAAAACTTTTTAATTGTTTTTTTTTAATTTTCAATTTAGAGACCATAAAAGAAATTTAAGAATAATTTTAGAAAAATTTAAAAGACCTAATCTTGTGTTCTAATTTAACCTAGAATTGCACTTTCTTAAATTACTTTTAAAGTAAGATTCTTAAAATTATTTTGTTCCCTTATAAATACAAATAATCCTAGTAGTAGAACTCTTCCATTCTGCCAACATTTTTTGAGAGGCTAATATGTCCTAACCCCTGTACTGGGTTCTGGGTTTACAAAAGTAAAACACCTGATTTTGAGGCCCTCCCACTCTAGATGAATTAGGAAATGGAATTTTGGAAAGAGAAAAGAGATGATGCAGAAAGCAGAGTAGAGGTGGGGGCTTGGTGAACCGTCCGAGATAAAGGGCAGGATGTGAGGAAGTTAGAACCCTTGGGTACTGGTAGTGAGATTATAAAATGGTGCAGCCAGTATGGAAAACAGCATAATAGCTCCTCAGAAAATTTAAAACTGGACTTACCATACGATCCAGGAATTCCTCTTCTGGATATATATCCAAAGAAGAAATTGAAAGCAGGATCTCAAAGAGGTATTTGCACCCCCACATTCATAAAAGCGTTATTTACAATAAACCAAGATGGGAGCAACACAAGTGTCCGCTGACGAATGGATAAACAAAATGTGGTATATACGTGCAATGGACTATTATTCAGCCTGAAAAGGGAAGGAAATTCTGATGCGTGTTGCAACATGGATGAATCCTAAGGACATTATGCTAAGTGAAGTAATAAGCCAGTCTCAAAAAGACAATTACTGAATGATTCTACTTGCATGAGGCACCTAGAGTAGTCCAACTCATGGAAACAGAAAGTAGAATGGCGGTTGCCAAAGACAATGGGGGAGGGGAAATGGGGAGTTGGTGTTTCATAGGTATAGAGTTTCAGTTTTGCAAGATGAAACTTATAAAAAGTTTGCAACTTTAAAACCAGTTCTCAATAGGGGTTGAGCAACAATACAAATATACTTAACAATATTGAACTGTGTACTTAGAAATGGTGAAAATGGTAAATTTTAGGCCAGGCATTTTTTTTTTTTTTTTTTTTTTTTTTTTTTTTTTTTTTTTTTACTACAGTGAAAATTTAAAAAATAAATAAATAAACAGAGAGATAAAGGAAGTCAGAGCTACATAAGCCTGGCCCCTGAGGAAGGGCACTCTGATTTTTGTTATGGGCAAGAGATGAGGTGTTTTTTTAGACTGTTGAATCTGCAGTGCTGGCTTCCCAGCAAGAATATGTAGGAGGTATCGGATGTAACAGGATCGGGGCTGGAAATATAGTTTGTTATCCACACGTTACAAATACTTAACTCTAATAGATTTGAATGAGGTCAGCTATGGAGAGTAAGAAATATAAAAAAAGTGAAGGGTAGAATTCCAGGTTCCAGGTTCTAGGTTCCAGATGGTAGATAGAAAAAGATCTGAAGAAAAGACACAGCAGCCAGAGATTTAGAGGAAAATACCTTCCCAGGTCCAGTAAAGTAAGGAAAGAAAAGTTACCTGGAGGATTTGTTACCCAGTCAGCCTTTGGTCGCCTTGCCCTGGTGGCTGCATTGGTGGTGGGAAGGGGTCTTCTGTTCCTCCCCCTGGAGCCATCTCCCCACACAGGGGCTCTTGACCTGTGGTTCATGGACTCTCTGGAGCCCGTGGCAAATGGACTCAGGATATCTAGGCAAAATGTTGTATGAATGTGCTTTTCTTCTGCAGAGAATCTCCATGGCTTTCATCAGATTCTTGGTGGGTTCTGTGATCCAATAAAAGCTCCATGTGCCATCATAGCATGTGGAGTCAAGATCCTGCTACCCTGATTTCACTTAGATTTTGAATGTCGTAGTTAATAGTTGCCAGATATTACATAATCTAAAAAATGAATTTCACTTGCATAAACAAATGTTTATGTTAACAGGTTTTTACATAATTGCCTTTCCGATTTTAGCATTTTCCCACATATCTTATGTGCAGTGTGATCATTTTTCTTCTGTGTGAATTAGATCATTCTGAGTTAATACATCGTGTGAATTTTGCCGATTCGCTGGGAAAGAAAGCATAAATTAACACACAAAAATCCATCCCTACTTTTGGAAAAGCATTTTGGAATCCATATTGATAGCAGGGGAGAGGACATTCATGTCTTAGGAAATGAATTAGTCATATTTTATTAACACTGTTGTTGATATTACGCCTCACAGAACTGAGGCCACATTTCAGCCTCGCATCTGAGAGTGATACCGCAGATCAAGAAGACTTGGATGCGGAAGATGAGCGTGAGGAACAGCCTTCAAACCAAACCGTCCAAAGACCTCATGCTGTCATCGAAGATGCCGTGGCTACCTCAGGGGTGAGCACGCTCAGTTCTACTGTATCCCATGACTCCCAAAATGCTCACCGATCACTCAATGTGCAGCTTGGAAGGATGAAAATAGAAACTAATAGGTAAGTCCTATTTTCACGTGAGTGTGGCTTTCTTTTCCCTTACTCTTATGTAAGTGCATTTAGGTTTTCTTTACAGTTTGGTCCACAGAGAATACAAAATAGGATTCCTTTGTCCCATTCACGTAAACTTGGCTTGATACCTTTCTTGATCAAACAAGAGCGGTTTGTCGTAGTCTCCTTAATCAAAATCATTTTCTGCTTATTCTACCAATTCAAGCCTTATTCAGCACCATTCCTTTGATTACTGATTTATCTCCAAGTACACTGAGATTTTCACAATAGTTGGAACTTCAGAGACTATCTTGGACACAGAATCAGAGCAGCATGTATCATCCAAGAGAGACAGCTGAAAGACAGAAAGTCCATGTTCTTGAAAGCCTGTGATTTGGAATATCCAGTTCTTTTAGGAGAGGAAGATGTCTGCTTTTGAACAGATACATTTAATGGTGCTAAAGCTTTGCATTTCAGAACCTTGAAAGAATGAGCAGTTGATTGCATTTAGGATTCTGTTTCATTTGGAATATGCTGTGTCATATCTGGACTTTAATTTTTCTTTGAGAATTTGGTAATATAGAATCCACATGTTAAGGTGATTAAGTGAAGAGTAAATATTTCCTGTTCTTCACAGATGTTGGCACAGTTCAGGGGCTGAGTCTATGATTTATAGCTTCCTGGTGCTGGCTACGGTTGACAATGTGGGCAACTGACTTTCTGACTCTGGGTTTACAGTTTATAGTAAAAACCTTTTTTTTGGGGGGGGGCGTGAATCAATAGAAGTTCAAATATTTAGTTGAAAATCTTAGTTGTTCACCAGGGAGATAAACATATTTTATTTCTAGTTTTGAGTTTTAAGTTTTTAAAGTTAAGCTTGAATACCAAGCTTAGTACGAATAGTAAAGCTCATCCTATACTCAGAAACAGAAATTTTGGTTGCGTGACTAAGTAAATCCATATGTATCATCTATGGTTTGCATAGAGCGAAATCTTTCTGAAAAAAGGGAAATTTTCTCCCTGACTTCCAGATCTTAATCTTGTCCTCTGAAACCCAGCTCTTACTGGGCATCATTACTACTTTAGTGGAAGAATTTGAATCTTTTCTCCTCTGAGACTTCCTTCAAAATCCTTAGTGTCCTTCATTTCCTCCTCTTGTCAGACAGCACCCCAATCACGACACTGCGTCCATTAGAGTAGGTGTTAACTTTAGTCATGTTTCTTTTTAGTTTATCCTCTGTGGTCCGATCCTGAATGAGCTGTTGTTAATACCCCTCTCTGATCTCTGGAGGAGGAATGTTCGCTCCTTACTGTTCTGGACCATCCCCAACTCCTCCTCCACCCATGGTCAGAATTATACATGCAATAAAGCTACATTATTTACCAGTAAGCTGGTGTATTTGCTTCTCTGGCCCTAAAACCTCTGTCTATATACCCTGGCTTATGTCAATAGAACCTGCCTGTCCTGAATGCAGCCTTTTCCTTCTCTCCTTAGACGACGAGAGTTCTCCTGGCTTACACCCTGTCCATGTCCTCTGTCCGCCATATTTGCACCATGCCATCCACGGCCCCTCAGGGCTGCTTTTCTGAGGGGAGCAGCTGGCTGAGGGCTTGCCTGCCACGTGTTCCCATCTCTGCTGAAAAGGCTACAATTTGCCCTGTTTCTTCATTGCATTAGGAGCATGGTTGCCTTTTCACAACAGCCCACACAGTTCTCTATGTATTTACACTTACATCTGTGAAATCTATAGGATTATGAGCCTCCTTTTTCTGTTTCTAGTAATATCACCTCATGCATGAAAAAAAAAGGGCAGCTGTTCTAGTACTAAGCAGTGGAAACGAGAGACTGATCACGTCTGTAATTTTTAGTTGAAGATCACTTGGTCTATAGAGGTCCATCTGTTGCCAAATAAACTTAGAGGAAATGTTAGATTTAGGAAATGTTAGATTTAGTGTTTTGGAAAGGTTGTGGCCCTCACGTTAGAAATCTTAAGCTTATCTACCCTATGACCCAGCAATAGCACTGCTGGGAATTTACCCAAGGGATACAGGAGTGCTGATGCATAGGGGCACTTGTACCCCAATGTTCATAGCAGCACTTTCAACAATAGCCAAATTATGGAAAGAGCCTAAATGTCCATCAACTGATGAGTGGATAAAGAAGCTGTGGTGTATATACACAATGGAATACTACTTGGCAATGAGAAAGAATGAAGTATGGCCTTTTGTAGTAATGTGGGTGGAACTGGAGAGTGTTATGCTAAGTGAAATAAGTCCTACAGAGAAAGACAGATACCATATGTTTTCACTCTTATGTGGATCCTGAGAAGCTTAACAGAAGACCATGGGGGAGGGGAAGGGGGAAAAAAGAAATTAGGGAGGGAGGCAAACCATAAGAGACTCTTAAAAACTGAGAATAAACTGAGGGTTGATGGGGGGCGGGGGAGAGGGGAAAGTGGGTGATGGGCTTTGAGGAGGGCACCTGTTGGGAGGAGCACTGGGTGTTGTATGGAAACCAATTTGACAATAAATTTCATATTAAAAAAAAAGAAATCTTAAGCTTATATTTAGGACAATCACTGATCAAAGTAAATCAGGTTTATCCAGCTCTTGATCATTAGATCACCGATAATAATACCAAATGGAGAAAATAACAGGATGGCTTTAGAATGCATATTTTACTTATATTTCCCTATATGTTTACATAAAATGGTCTGGAAATAATTCACTTGATGGCAATTATTGGGACAGTAATGCAGGACAATAATGCAGAGTTAGCTAAAATTTAACTCAGCCAGAGCTGCCTGTTTATCTAGGACACGATTCCAGAATTACCCACCCCCACCCATCTGAGTTAAAAAATCAACCTCAGGGCAGATGGCTTTACCAAGCTTTTCTAGAACAGAGGGGCAGGCAATTGCCTTAATTTTGCAGAACTTCCCTGTTAACTTGTAGGCAAAGGAAAAATAAAACTGATGGCCTAGGTTGGATATATTCTTAAATAATTTTTGAGAGCTGGATTTGGGACAAATGAAGTGGCCTGTCAGTGCCCTTCTTCCAATGTTAGGTTCTGGCTTTTAAAGGTAAAACTAAAATATCTAGTCCAGACACACATAGGTTAAATTCTAGAAAAAGTCACTGTGTTCTTAAAAAACAAAAACAAAAACAACGGAATATTCATCACTATTCCATACATGTAAATTAGCAAGGAAGACAAAACCAACAAATTGCCCACTTAAAAATTCGTGCTGAGCTTGCTATCCATTTCTTCGAATTTGCCTCTTGCTGGCGTAGATAAAACTCTCCCTTGAGCCTCTGCTTTCCTCTCGATTTCGCTTCCTACTGCTCAGTCCACCTAATTGTGTGCAGCTTACTCCGCAGTTGTCTTTTTTTTTTTAATTTTTTTAATGTTTATGTATTTTTGAGAGAGAGAAAGTGCATGCGCGCTAGTGGGGGAGGGGCAGACAGAGAGGGAGACAGAATGTGAAGCAGGCTCCAGGGTGGGTGTTGTCAGTACAGAGCCTGATGCAGGACTCGAACTCATGAACCGCAAGATCATGACCTGAAGTCAGACACTTCCCCAACTGAGCCACCCAGGCGCCCCTCCGCAGTTGTCTTTAAACAGCCAGTCTTCCTCAAACCACCTTCTTTGGCTGCCTGTCAAGAGTTTTCCTTTTTGTCCCACTTCTGCTGCCTAATGCTACCCTGATCCTTTCTCCCAAGGGCCTCACATCTGTGTCCTGTGGGAAAGGAGAAGGAACCCCTCGTGAGCCCTGGGAGGGCTCTTTTCCCAGGGCCTGAGGCTGCAGGAGGAAACAGAATCGCCCTCTCTGCCAGCCAGGCACTGCCCTTGGCCTGTTAGCTACTGCTGTCTCATTTAACGTTCACAGTAACTCTTAAGGGAAGTTTTACTTTTCCTTTTCACAGATGAGAAAACTGAAGCCGAGAGGCGCTCAGTAATTTGTCAAAGTTCACACAGGAAAGGTGTGGCTGAGCCAGGATTCCAGCTCGGGGCTGACTTTCAGTTGGGCCTGTGTTGCCTTCAGAGCATGTCAGCTGAAGCAGAAACAAACTTTTGGACCGGCATCTGGTCCTGACTTCAGTCTCTCCTTACCCAGAAAACAAAACAAATAGTCTGCTAAGAGCTGTAGGGTACACGACAATTTATCCTGATGATCTTATGAATAACTATGTACCTTAACTTTCTGGAATTCTGAATCCTAGTTACCCAAAGGTAGTTTCCTAAAAAATCAGAGCATCTCCCTTCCTAACTTGGAATTTTTTTTCAGAGAACGGTGTTAGAAATGGTGAGCAGGTGTCCACGTAGCTCTCCACTGCACAGTGAACGTTTCATGGGCAAAACTATGGCATCAGTAATATGTTTCTCTTTGTTTCTTTGGAGAATGTATCATCGGGTGTCAACTAAGAACCGAATGTACCAGGAACACAGCTATCCCTTTACCCGTCACCAGCCTCCTTGGGAGGCAGAGGAAGGACAGGAATGCCTACAACAATCCTAGCAACAACCGTTAACATTTACTGAGTAGTTGTTATATGCCAGGTACTATAGGTGATCTCATCTATAGTTTAGTTCTCACATTTTCCCTGTTAAAAAAAAAACGACTGTCCTTCTGCTTTGCATTGATTATTATATCGTCCATCATCTTTTTTTTTTATGTCATATATGTAAAATATAGGTCTGTTAATATTATATATATTTGATTTTACTTTATATATCTATTTGTTTGCCATTTATGGTCATAAAAGGAAACAATAAAACATCTCTGAAGATTTTGGCAGTCAGGGTGGAGATTTTGAATTCTTGACTGGAAGTGCAAGTCTTCTAGAGCTTTGCTATTTTAACATGAGGGTGGGGTAGGGGTGATCTGTGGCCAAGCAACAGGAGTGTCACCTGGGACCTCATTAGAAATGCAGAATCTGGGGGCGCCTGTGTGGCTCAGTCGGTTTAGCGGCCGACTTCAGCTCAGGTCATGATCTCACGGTCCGTGAGTTCGAGCCCCGCGTCGGGCTCTGTGCTGACAGCTCAGAGCCTGGAGCCTGTTTCAGATTCTGTGTCTCCCTCTCTCTGACCCTCCCCCATTCATGCTTTGTCTCTCTCTGTCTCAAAAATAAATAAACGTTAAAAAAAAATTAAAAAAAAAAAAGAAATGCAGAATCTGAGGGCACCTGACTGGCTCAGTCAAGAGCATGCAACTCTTAATCTCCAGGTCATGAGTTTGAGCCCTATGCTGAGTGTAGAGATTACTAAAAAAATAAATAAGCCTAAAAAAAAATGCAGAATCTCAGACCTACCCCAAGAACTACTGGAACAGGATCTGCATTTCAATAAAATCCCAGGGGTGTCTGTGTTCCTTATAGCTTGAAAAGCCCATATCTAGATCTAGAAGGTCACTCTGGCTACTCCAGCTTTATTATCCTGTCAACTGATAGAATTTTCTCTTTCATGGGGTGCCTGGGTGGCTCAGTCGGTTACGTGTCTGACTTCAGCTCAGGTCATGATCTCACGGTTCACGAGTTTGAGCCCCGCGTCCAGCTCTGTGCTGACACTCAGAGCCTGGAGCCTGCTTCGCTTCTCTCCTGCGCATGCTCTCTCTCCCTCTCAAAAATAAATAAATGTTAACAAATTAAAAATATATATATATATATAATTTTATTTTTCAGATTACTGGAAGAATTGGTTCAGAAAGAGAAAGAATTACAAGCACTCCTTCATCAAGCTATTGAAGAAAAAGACCATGAAATTAAACACCTGAAGCTTAAGTCCCAACCAATAGGTGAATAACAGAAAATGTTAAAGTCACCCCGTTATACCAGGCGGCCACAAAAAGCTGAGAAAGCCAATGGGCAGTTTTATTTCATGGCTTAATTGGCACCTGTCACTTGTACCACAGCTACAAGCAGAAATTGCTTTTTAAAAATGTCCAATTCTTAATTGTAGCAAACTGTAATTTTGATATGCCTTAATTTCAAATAATGATTCGTGGTCATGTTTTCCTGAGATTATTTGAGGTAAATAGGGCTCTCTGCTTCTTTGGTCTTTATTTCTTTTTAAAATTTTTGCAATGAGGGGCGCCTGGGTGGCGCAGTCGGTTAAGCGTCCGGCTTCAGCCAGGTCACGATCTCGCGGTCTGTGAGTTCGAGCCCCGCGTCAGGCTCTGGGCTGATGGCTCAGAGCCTGGAGCCTGTTTCCGATTCTATGTCTCCCTCTCTCTCTACCCCTCCCCCATTCATGCTCTGTCTCTCTCTGTCCCAAAAATAAATAAACGTTGAAAAAAAAAAAATTAAAAAAAAAAAATAAATAAAAAAAATAAAATTTTTGCAATGAGATTACTAGAATAAAAATAATACTATTTTTGTCATTTTTGCATTTGTATCTTGTATATTCTATGCTTTTTTTTTCCATATTGTTGCAAATAGTGAAAAAAGAGACCATTATGTAATTATGTGGTTCTGTACTAACTATGCTCATGTTTGTTGCATGAAAAACACACAGTACAATTTTAGTGCAATGAGTTTATTCTAAGAAAATAAACTTGATATGAAAGTATGAGGTGGGGTATCATTACATTATTGCTTCTGCCTCTCCATTTATTAGTAGTCTTTAAGAATTTGTTTACATTACCACATATCCTGCCAATCTCAATTCTATTATACTCTGAGCAAAATCTTTTAAAGTATTAATAAATGTCTCTTGAGTGGTAGGAGGGTCTCAGATGACCTCTGTTAAGAGCAGCTAAGAATGTCCCTCCCTCGCTAATTCTGTCCTAGATATTCCTGGAGTGCCTGTGTGTCACCGGGATTCTCTGGGCACAAATGCTGAAGAGTCTGAACTTGCTGAATGGCTGAGAGAAAAGGGAGCTGATGAAGACACTATAAGTCGGGTAAAGAAAACTGCCTGTGGGACAAGCTTTTCTTTTGCTTCATAATGTTGAATGCCTACCGCGTGCGAGGCATGGGGCATGAACCCTGGTGAGCAACTCAGGCCCAGGCCTGCCCTCCTGCGGCTTACAGGCTAGCATCCGCAGATGGAAATCAAATAATTTCACAGATAAAGCGTAAGGATACCCTGGTAAACTCTATGCAGGAAAGGTTATCAGGAGTTAGGAGACAGAGAGAGGGAGAGGTTGAGAAATGTTCTCTTAGGAGGTGATGAATGAGCTCAAGTCTAAAGGAGTATGTAGGAAGAAACCAGGCTGTCTGTATGTATATTGGGGGAGGGGCAGGTGAGAAGGGAAAATCTTTCGGGGGTAGGCACACAGTATGTGCAAAGACAGGGAGGCGGGCAAAAGCTCTGTGGTCTAGGACCCCTAAGGGTTTTTATATTTTTGAATTGAAAATAAGGACGAATGGAAAAATCAAGACAAAACTAAAATCTTCAAGTTTCTAATTCTCTCTTTTGTTTAACTTTTTAATTCTCTTGCAACATTGTTAGACTCTGCCGGGCAGTAGCTCTATATTGATGCTTAATAAAATAAATCTAGGCAGTCAACCTGTGTCAGGAACAAACACTTCCCTCTAAACCATATTATATCTATAATAACCTAATTCCCGTCTGCTCCTTACAGACTTTGGTAATCAGCATGAATAGCACTTACATTTTAAGATTACATACGTGTATATACACATACATACACGTATATGCACATACACACAATAAGAAGTTATATTTTTTATAGAAAGGGCCCCAATACAATATTACATTAAAACTTTAGCTTTCTATTTAATTTTTTTAAATAACTAAGAATAAAGATATCTTTTCTCTTTACTTGATAATTTATTGATTTACCAGATAAAATTTAGAGTTTCCTTAGAAATCTGCATTGAACAAGCTACTGCTAAATAAATTTAAATAACTCTCTTGCTTCTGGGGAATCATGCGTCCATTCAAGTTGTCCAAAATATTTATTCCTGGAGCTAAAACTCAAATCACAATTAAGGAGTAGTAACTGATGATCCACTAAATCATTGCCCACCTTTTTAAATTAAAAATTAAAGCTTCAGTTTAAATTCAGGACTCTGATTATACAGTAATTATTAGAAAATACCTTTTATTAGCTGTGAAAAATAAGTTCAGAAATTAAGTATAAACAATACCTTTCCAGGAACACTTTTTATCCACTTGAGAAAAATAAACACAGCAACAAACCTCTAAAATACAAACCTTCTCTTATAAGCAGCAGATGTAATTACAAATGAGTTTTATCTACTCATTAAAAGGCCATCCAAAATTGTGTTGCATTTAATCTTTACGCGCTTGGAAGTCATACTGATGCATTTCTTTGTAATTATTTTATAACGGGGTGGGGCAGTACTTTTCCCTAATAATTCCAGAAGATTATGTTTTTTAGTAGATTCCCTTTTAGGTTTACTTTTAAATGATTGCCAATGTCTATATTATGGATAGAGTTTACTATTTATTAAAGGTGTGCAAAACATCTGACATTTGTGCATATTCTACCTTCTCCACAGTTTCTGGCTGAGGATTATTCACTAGAGGATGTTCTCTACTATGTTACACGTGATGATTTAAAATGCCTGAGACTAAGGTACCACTTCTCTATTCTTTTTTCATAATGGAGAAAGTGCCCTGGGCAGGGAAGTCTGGGCTCCTGTCCCTGCTGGGCCCCTCGCCAGCTCTAACCAGCTGAGGGAACTTGAGCTCCACTCTCCGGTTCTCACCTTCTCCGGGTAAACTGTGTCCATTGGACCAGGCTCTTACTGGGCACTCTTATAACCAGTATTTCTATATTAGTAAATGCAAATCAACTAAAAGAATTTCTTGATAATACAGCAGACTGAGACCATGAGGTTCTTTTAAATCTGCCTTTAACAAATGCTCTAATTTAGTTCGTGATTGTGCCATACCTATTAGAAATATTAGGATAGGTGCTGATTTGCCATCCACATGCCCTGTATAACCTGATAGGGTTTCTTAGGATAGTTTTTTCTGTCAGGCCAAGCATATGCGTAAAGACGCATTCCAGGACTGCTAGAAATCTAAAATGATGCTTTGGGATGGGGCGCCTGGGTGGCTCAGTCGGTTCAGTGTCTCACTTTAGCTCAGGTCATAATCTCACGGCTCGTAGGTTCAAGCCCTACAGTGGGTTCTGTGCTGACAGCTTGGAGACTGGAGCCTGCTTCAGATTCTGTGTCTCCCTCTCTCTCTCTGCCCCTCCCCAGCTCTCGCTCTCTCTCTCTCTCAAAAATAAACATTAAAAAATTTTAAAAATAAAATGATGCCTTAGGACCTGCTAGTTTGTGGAGGCGGAAAGGAAAGGCACGTAGGGCTGACGAGAAAATAGGCACAAAAAGAATGCACGATGACTGGTAAGACTTTGGATCTTCATATTCTGATCAGAACAGCTAGAGGCTAAGAATCACTATTCTGTATCAAGGGCAGTCTTCCAAATAGGGTGTCGTCTTCATCATGTCCTTGTGTCTCTAACCAGGGGAGGAATACTCTGCACGCTGTGGAAGGCCATCACTGACTTTCGAGACAAACAGACTTGACCGTCGCTCAGTTTGTTTCCAACCTTCCGTGGAGACTCCAGCAATACGGAACGGATCTTCTCGGGGGAGGGAGAGGAGAAAGAAGGCTGCACTTTAAATCCAGTATTTGTTTACTCGTGTTAAAAAAGAAAAAAAAAGACAAAATACACTGAACTGCTTCTATTTCTAGAATTCATAAGGACTCTTTGTAAGGACTCTCCAAAAATAATCCTACACATTAGGATGCTGAGGACTATTTTAGTCTAAACATTTTTATGGAGATATTTTTAACTCGGCACCTGTTGCACCTCAGCCCAATGTTTATTTCACACGAAACAGAACATTTCATGGGATTGTGCATCACTGGAACAAAACCAAAATGTGACCATGACTTTGTAGGCTTATGTGTGTTTGTAAGATACTCTGAGTAGAAATGCATAATTTCAATTATTGTATAAAGTTTATGTGTTTTTTTTAAGTGTGCAGAATCTGAAAGCAATGGTTTTTACTTACCTATATCTGTATTAATTGTAATATCGACTATATTTTGTAATTTAAGTTTCTGGCCCCTAGTACATTCGAGTCGTTTATGTACTACTGAACTGTACCAGTTGCACATGCCTGAACCATAGTAATGTTAGCTTGTTCTAAAGCTATCCATTGTGTCATATTTACTCTAGTAAATAAAAAAGACTCTTCACATACTGTTTGATAAATTCTAAGGAATTCTTATTTTGTTTTGACAAACTAGACAAACCGCTGTGTCAAATTTCTGGTTGTTTCTCCTGCTCTGATATTAAATAGACTCTGTCTTCTGTTCAGTTAATCAAAGAACAAAATTGATATGCAAGTTGTCTCTCAGGGCCACAGGGTAGTAAGAGAGAGGAGGAAGACAAAAAGAATTTATATAAAAGAAAGTCCCTGTGTCTTTCTCAAGGCTCCAGGTTCTCTTGAATGACTATTGTATACCTCAGAGGGTCTGCAGATAGCATCCCAGGGAAGAACACCCTGCATTTTCTGTCTCCTTAGTTTTAGTTCTCATATTTCAGGGAACTGTTTCTATTTTAAGGTGAATATTCCATTTTCTTAGCCTGCCCATATTAACAGGGTGAAGTCTGAAACTCCTAGATAGATGGATGAGATAAACACACTTCTTACATACAGAGGAACCTACCTGTTTATTCTGCAAGATAGAAATAACATAGAGCTTCACGTATCATGACTTGACCCATACGTATATAACGGTCTTTGATAAAACAAGAGTCATCTTTATTTCTATGTGAAAATCAAGGTCCAATATGTCTTATATTGCATTAGACTGCACAGAAAGTTCTCACCGTTATTTTCTCATTTGATACTTGTAACAGCATAGCTGCATCTTTTTTTACAGCCCAATCCCAAGGACAGATAGTTGCCTCTTGTATCCTGTGGGGAAATTTCAAAGGAGGGGAGATATGTATATAGCATCAAGCTACTCATCTTCAACCAATTCTTTATCGATATGGTCTTTCCTTGGTATCTTCCTCCCACCCTGTTTTTGTGGGCAAGTGTTCCTCTATCCCTACATGGTTCATAAGACATTCCTAGGCCAACATCCTTAGGTTTTTGTCAGAATTTTGGGCCTCGGTCACAAAAGAAGGCAGTTCCACTATGGCCCAAGTTTCATTAAAGGCATTTGGCATCAATCTGGGCCAGTGATTCTCAACCCAGCTTCACAATAAAATGACTGGGATGCTTTTTTAAAAACACTGATGCCACCACCACAGACAGACTGTTTTCATTGATCTGCGTAAGGCCCGCAGATCCTTTAAAAAAGTTCTGCAAAATGATTTAACACTACCAAATCCCACCTCCTTACTCCAAGAGACACCTGGAGAGAGAAATGGGAGAGCCTCTTTCCACAGAGATGGTAGTAAGATGGTTACTATTCATCGTTCATGTAACGTAGCAGGAGGCTAGACACGTAGGCCTGGAGCACAGTCATCACTTACCTTTGACCTTGGGCAAATTAACTCTCCGAGACTCATCTTCCTCATTTGAAATAGCGAAAATAATGTACCTTCCTCATAGGGTTGTTGTAAGATTTAAATAGTGCAGGTAAGATGCTTAGTGTAATGCCTAGCAGAGAGTAAGCAATCAGACGCTGCCTGCTGCTGTTATGTCTTATCATTCAACCAAAAGTATTTATTAAATACTTATTGGGTACTACATACTGGGGTGCATGAACAAGACACAGTTCTTGCCCTGTGAAGTTCACTGTCAGAGGTGGAACAACAGAACACGTAAAACCAAACAACCAGCACACATAGTAAGTACTATAGTTACATCTGACTGCCAAGGGGTGGGGGTGGGCGGGGCCAAGAAAAGCTTTCCAGAGAAGTGAGACCCAGAGCTGTGCCTGGAACGATGGTTTGTAACTGAACAGTTATGCATGGGTGGTGGTAGTCTCATACAAGAAATAAAACCAGAATTTGTTGGGAAAAGTAGATCCCATGTTTCTTTTGAACCATATTTTGATCTCTTGCTCCAAGTTCTGTCATTGCACATTTTGTTTCATTCATTCCTAAGCCATTCCATAAAACAGTCTGGCAAGGAGGAATTATTTAAACCACTGGAATGCCTACTATGTGTGAGGCAATGTAGCAGCAGCAGGAGGAGAGATCTACATGATGCCTATCAAGTTCAGAACGCATGCAGCATGCATTATGTCATCAAGGACATCTGTAATTTGTAAACAAATAAAATAATTGGTGGCTTCAGACATTAGAAACACCCTATAGAGAAACAGAAGACAAAGTCCTTGCCACCAAGTAATTCATATCAGATCCAAGAGACAAATTTGCAATAACAAATCACACTTAGTCCATGTTAAAGGCTAGATGAATGCAAGCCCACAAAAACCTGGAGACCTTCAGAGGACAAGCTGGCCAGGAGCCAGGGCAGGTGGAACAGGCTTTACTAAAGAGGGACACCTCAACCTGGGCATTGGAAAGAAGGAATTCAGTAAGTCAGGACCAGGGAAGTCAATCGGGGTAGAAAGTTCAAGGAACAAAGGCTGGAAGCAGGGATTTGCAAGATGTTCCAGAGAAAGCGAACAACTTTTATATTGCGTTAGAGCACACCAAAATTTTAACTCCTCTTAATTTATACTTGGCTGGAAATATGAGTTCTAGAAATATAAAGTGGAAGGGGAGAGCTCAGGGTGATGATGGGGGTGATGGTCAGGAAAGGAAGTGGAGTCGGTATTTAATTACGTAGAAATGGGAGGGGCGTCTGGGTGGCTCACTAGGTTAAGCATCCATCCGACTTTGGCTCAGGTCATGATCTCATGGTCCATGAGTTCAAGCCCCATGTTGGGCTCTGTGCTGAGAGCTCGGAGCCTGGAGCCTGCTCCGCATTCTGTGTCTCCCTCTCTCTTTCTGTCTCTGCCCCTCTCCTGGAAGATGAATCCAGTGAAGGTGTGTTGGGGTAATTAGAACAGAAATTGGACAGAGAATTTCAGAGATTGTTTTAGATGTGAATGAAGGTCTAGTAGCAGAGCAGTAGGAATTGAGAGCGTGGAATTAAAACCATACATTCACAAGATTTGGGAACTATGATTTGGGCAGTGATGACAAGGGAGAGTGAAGAATAGATTGAAGCTGTGTCAGTAAGAGAAGAATTCAAAAACAGGTAAGTTTGAAGGGGAGCTTATTTGAGGCGATGAATCAATGGCAGAGCATTATGACAGAAATGTGCAGAGACCATTGAGAATGTATTGCTGGAAGTCAGGACTGAGGTTAAGGGTATCTATTCTGGATGTAGGAGTCACCTTGATGGAGATCACAGTAAATGAGGGCTATGAGAGATAGAAAGGTTATGGCCTAAAATGTTGGGAAAAGGAAGGTTTGTGGATGGTTGGGGAGGAATGAGGAATTTCAATCCGCAACAGAGGCAAAAGGACTGGTCACAGAGGAATGAGAAAAACCAGCCAGTGGTGTAAGCCAAACAGGAAGACAATCAGGGGATCTAGTGCAGCAGAAAGTATAGGGGAATGATGGATTAAAAAATAATAGGTAAATTTGATTTTGTGACCTGGAAAGCTTTTATAGACAGGCAAGAAAGGCTTACAAAGCAGGTTGAACAATGGTAATAAGACAGTGGCACCAGAGTCCACACATTTATTATCTTTGGTGAACAGAATGTAGGACAATAGATTTGCGAGGGTGGGATGTCAAGGAAAAGAAATTTCCAGAATCAAAGAGCCCTAAATGTACTTGTTGGGTTCAAGCCCCTGAACAGAGTCGCATTTTAGGAGTAGGGAGAAGGGAGGGAGGAAGGAGGTTTCCAAGGAGAAAGGAGGGGGGATGGATGGCATTAGGAGGTCTGGCTCCTCCCCTGGAAAGGGGAACCTTGATTATTCCAAGAGACTCTGAGATGGGTGTTGAGACTCAAGACAGATGGCTTCTCTATTCTAAGTAAAGTACAGCACAAAGTACAACGTGGTGGTGTGTGACATTTAACAGATGTCACCCCTTACTGCATTTTCATGCAGCAGACCACCCTGTTACAGACACCGCACTAAGTTTGAAACACATAGCGTATTCAGGGCCTAAGTGTAAGATTTGGGTGTGTTTCTTATAGCACTAATTTTTGTGTGACTGTGACAGACCGAAACATAAATTAACAAAAGAATGCACAAAGAGATAAGCACATATCCCAAATAAACAAAACCACACACACACACACACACACACACACACACACACACACACACACACCAATAAGTCTTGCTTCAGTGGGGAGGGAGGGGATAGGAGGTATATCAAAGAAAGAATTCACTGGCTTACTTGAGTAGGTAGTAAATCAATGGTCTTCCAGAGTTCAACTCTTTAGATTCAAGTAAGTATCTTTCTGATGTTCACAGGAAAGTGTCTCAAACTCTGATGACTTCGTGTAGTAAAAAATATCTTTGCTAAGATCCAAGCTGAGGTCTACCACTGCCTCCACCCACCTGGTACTTTATTTTTGTTGATTAGACATCTGGTAAGAGTTGTGTGAACATG